TATATATATATATATATATATATATATATATAACTATTTTTTAAAAAACGTCCCATTTTCCAGGCTGAGGATGTGGCACAGTGGTTAAGTGCCCCTGAGTTCAATCCCTGAGACCAAAAAAAAAAAAAAAAAGAAAGAAAGAAAGAAAAAGAAAAAAATCAAAAAATCAATTTTCCCAAGAACCAAACTCCCTAAAAGGCTCAAGGGCAAACTCTGTGGCCTGCCTCGGTGTCAGTATGGTCTCCATGAGCCTAACCACATTCCAGAACCAGGACCCTAGTTCAAGACAAGGGGGATAGAGAGTCACTGTGCAAGGTTCTGCTGGGGGGTGGGGTACAGGGCATATTTGGGTCAGAATGGTCAGAACCTTTCCCAGTGGGACACGTTGGTTTGTCCACAGTGAGACTCCCCATGGAGGAAGGTCGGCAAGCTAGGTCAAGGGCTATGGGTGAAGGGATTCATGTAGGTGTGGTTGGTGGAGAGACTAGGCCAAGAGGCCTCTAAACATCCAGCTGATACCAGTGCCCTTGGTTCTGACCCCCACATTCCTTGGTTAGCCTAAAACTAAACAGCAAGCCCCTTTGCATTCTGGGTTGTCCAATTCCCAGAGCTTCTCCTTCTTGCAGAGACCTGGGGACTCGAAGTCACTAGAGTGCCCCATGATCAGAGGCAGCTGTGTGTAGGGAAGCCCCCACCTAGACAGATGCATGCAAGGAGCCTCCACCTGCATAGCTATGTGCAGAGAACCCCCATTCTGGTGGTTTGTGCTGGGAGTCCCCCACCTTATACAGAAAGCAGGGCAGGGGAATTCCTGTTTCTTCTGTCAAAAGCGGCCCCTCTCCTGGACCCTCTTGCCAAGTCCAGCAGTGCCATTCTTTTCCTTGACCACAGCCAAAGGTGGGGTGGGAAGGGATCTGGGTCCAGCCTAAGCCAGATGTGGTTCCAGGTGGCCTGGGTGAAGTGGATGAACTCCTCAGCTCCATTTACCATGACACCAGACACCAACTACTGCAACATCATCGTGCCCACCACAGACACTATACAGATGTCCTTCCTGCTGGACAAACTGCTCACCAATCACAAGCCTGTGAGCACCCCCACCCTACCCTGCCTCAGCCCACCCCAAGTCCCAGTGTAGGCTAGCCCCCTACACTGATAAAGTAGCAGCTCCCCCTGTGTGCCCACCCTGTGTGTGCTCTGCCTGCCCCATCCCCGCTCTCCCAGGTGCTGTGTATTGGGCCAACGGGCACAGGGAAGACGCTTACCATCTCCGATAAACTCCTCAAAAACCTGCCGTTGGAGTACATCAGCCACTTCCTCACCTTCTCGGCCCGCACTTCAGCCAACCAGACCCAGGACCTCATCGACAGCAAGCTGGACAAGAGGCAGGGCACCCACCACTTGTTCCTTCCTTGGCCCTAGTGTCCCTCAGCCTGGATGAACCATGTTCCTGGGTTTTCCAGAACCCTCCCAGGGGAAGCTGGAATATCCCCCACAAGAGGCGCTGGGTTCTTTTGCAGACTGCTCTAGAGATTTCTCTCCATCAAGATTCCTCTGGAGCCTTTTGGGGTGGTCATCCTGGTCTGGGCACCTAGGCAAGGGTCTGGGCACCTAGGCAAGGCTCTGGGTCTGTCTTAGAGATGCCTGTCATCCACCTGCCTAGGAGATAAGACTCCCTTAAAGGAGCTCACACAGAAGTCAGTCCTAGGACACTCAGAACTAAACAGGGCTGGTCATGAGGTCTAGCAATTTAGAGGAGGCTCAGATTTAGTGAGGTACCATCCTGCTGCCGCTGGATACTCAGAGGACCTGGTGCCCATGAGTGTTGGGCTCACACAGTCCCTCCTGCAGGCGGAAGGGTGTGTTTGGGCCACCCCTTGGGCGCAACTTCATCTTCTTCATCGATGACCTGAACATGCCAGCCCTGGAGACATATGGTGCACAGCCACCCATTGAGCTATTGCGCCAGTGGATGGACCATGGAGGCTGGTATGACCGCAAGATCATCGGTATGTGCCAACCCAGGCCTGCAGGGCATAGGCTATATTCACTGGTCAGGATTATTGTAGGCATCAGGGCCCATGAAAATATTCTAAGTTCTCTAAAGATCAGGGGAAATGAACTTTTAGGTTCAAAGAAAAATTTTGATGGCTATTAATGCATCTGTCCTTTATACCAATACAGTTGCAAATTATAATTTTAATATATATGCTTTTCACGGGAAAGCAGCCCCATGAAAATCATAATGCAGTTCTGGGCGGGGCCCCTCCTGACTTCTTGCCCCCACTCAGGAGCCTTCAAGAACCTGGTGGACATCAACTTTGTCTGTGCCATGGGCCCACCGGGAGGAGGCAGGAATGCCATCACCCCAAGGCTTACACGTCACTTCAACTACCTGTCCTTTGTCGAGATGGATGAGACCAGCAAGAAATGCATCTTCTCTACCATTCTGGGCTGTTGGATCAGTGAGTATTAGGTGGGGACAGGAGAGGCTATGGACAAAGACAGAAGCCCAGCCCAGGTAAGTCACACCAAGGACAGCTGGGCAGCCACTGAAAAGGACCAAGTGGCTGAGTCACTTAACTACAACCCCAGCTTTACTCCTTACCCAGCTGTTACCTTTGTTTAACAAGCTCATGGACCTCTCTGAACCTCAGTTTCTTCATCTTAAAATGGGTAATGATGATATTAGGACCTGTCACTCCAAGTCATGAATGTTAGTGAATCTGGCATGAAAACTGCTCATGGTGATTGCTGAATATATAACAGATACATGCATACCTATATGTATCCACCCACATAAATACACATGTACATATTAGCATTTGCCCAGAAACTCAGATGAAACGATGTTACTTTTGTAATTAAGAAAAGTCCCCAGGACATGAAGGAAGGAGGATCCTCCCTGGAGCTTGGGGAAAAGTCCACCCCAAGATGCTGCTTCCCTCCCACCCAGCACACACTCTGATGACTGAACTCCATTTGGCATGGCGCCAGGTGGTTGACAATGGAAATCTGTCCTGGACTCCTGTGTCCCCAGGGGCAATGAGCTAGGACTTAACTGCATGTCCAGTTGGGGAATTGGGAATGGTCAGCAGCTACTTTAGGAGCTTCTCAGCTGGACACAGCTGGCTACAGTGGCTACCCAGCAAGAGACCCACCTAACTCCAAGGCCTGTGACTTTCCTTCAATCCTTTAGATGGACTCCTTGGAGAAAGAAGTTACCGAGAGCCTGTGCGTAAGTGTGGGCTGGGTAGGAGCCTGGGAGGGCATGGATGGAATGGGGCTATTGGTTCCAGGATGATCCCTGGGTTCTGGTTAGGTGTGCTGAGGCCAGAGGCCACAATGGACCATCCTTAGGCTCAGATGGGGTCCAGACTGAAGGTCAGCACCAGCAAAGGTCAACTGCCTTCATGGGTCATTCATCCCTTTTTATGACCAATCAATCCTTCAGGGCCTGGGTTAGTGTCCAACTGATAATAGATACAAAGTAAATGCAAGATGAATGAATGAATAAAGAAACCCAACAACCTCCCTACACACTATGTTATCAGCCAGAGCACAAAAGAGAGCAGGCCTTCTCCAAGGAGCAGGCAGGAGCAGGAGAATTGGGAGTGTTTTGAACGGGGGGCAGGCATCCTTCAACCGGCAGCCTCGCACAACTCAGATCTGTTGGTCATCACTGCAGGGCAACTGGCCACTTCAGACTCTGTCTTCTCTGCATTTCCACCTCTTCTGTCCCCTCCTCTCAGCTGAAAGAGGCCATCAAGCTCCCTCTTTGGGCATCCATACTTGCCTGCTTACCTGCATCCAGCCTCCCTCATGGTCCATCTTCTCCCTTTAGGAGTGGACTTCCTGCTTTCATGGAAGCAAGCTCTTCTCCTGGGCTTGCTAGGGGATGGGATCCATCCCTCACCCAGCACCAGTGTTCCCTGCTCCCCTAGGCATTCCCTCAGCATGCACACATAACCCAGTTCTTTCATCTGAACCAAACACAAAACGCCCTCTTTTGGCCAGCTACTTTTCCACCCACCTTGGTGCCTCGCCCCACTTCTCTGCTCACCTTGATGGCAAAACTCCTCAACAGCTTTTTTCCTGCAGACACCAGCTRTCCACCCCCACATTCCACAAGCCACTGCTACTCCCCCAGAGAGTGTTCTTGTCACCAGTGCCCTGTGTGACCATACCAGTGGTCAGCTATAGGTCCTCATCTGCCCTGGGTGTCAGCAGTGTTGCCCCATAGATAGACCCTCCTTCCAGCAGCTTCCCCCAGCCCTCCACCCTCTCTGGATGTCCCTTCTTGATGACCGGACTTTGCTATCTAGTCTTTTCTCCTTCTATCTATGCTATCCTCAGACAGTCTCGTCCTGCCTCTAGTGATAAAAGCCAGCTTTGAGTTGAACATCAACTCAAAGCTCAGACCTCTCCCCTGAACCCCTGATCCACATCTCTTGGATATCCACTGGGCATTTCAAACCCAAACTCCTGGATGCCCCACTTCCCAGCCCCTTTCCCATCTCACCTTCCAGGTGTTCAAGAGCCTTGGCGTCACCTCCAACCCCTGTCTTCCCCTCGCACCTCATCTCATATATCAGGAAACCCTGCAGAATCTGTCCCAGATCAGCCACCACTCATCACTCTGTCCTCGCTCACCCCACGAGTGCCACAGCCCCTCCCCTGGTCTCCTTGCTTCTGTCTTCACCTACCTACATTCCATCTCCAACTTACAGCCAGGGGGATGCATTCCTAATCCTCATTTGCTCAACATCCATGCAAGAACCCAAGTCCCAACAGCAGCTGGCAAAGCTGTCTCCAGTCTGATCTCATCTCCTTCCACTAGGTCCCTCCTGGCTGGTCCTTAACACCCCAGGAATGYTCCTACCGCCAGTCCCTTGCCCTTGCTGTTGAGATAAACATATTCTTGCCTCTCGCATCTTTGGTCTCAGCTTGAATGTCCCCTTCAGTAAATCCTCCCCCAGCACTTCTGGAATGGGCCCTAAAGCCAAGCCCTGGCACGCCCCAAACCTCACTCCTGCTATAAATCTGTCCTTAGTACTTATCATGTGGTCACTGTGACCTGCTCATTGTCCATCTCCCTGATAAGAATGTCAGCTTGGTGAAGGAAAAGAGTACCCAGCACCTAGACTGATGCCTGTGTTCAAGAATGAGCCCCTCTCCTGCCCCTTCCCTCCTTTTTTCCACTTCTGGGAACCTCCTCTACCCCAAGGTCTCACTGATAGAATTTTTGTTCCCAGCAAAGAATTGGCAAAAGAATCTATTAGTGGTGACCTGCAGGTATAAAGTGGCAGCAGCTCTGAGGGGGTTGGTGAGACCTGAAGATCAGGATGGAGCTCCAGGTCTCTCCACACCTACTATGCAGCATGCCTGAAATCTGTGTAGACCAAATGACCCCTTCCCACATGTGACCCAGGGCTGGTATGTGTATGTCCGGGYACAAGCTCATAAGGCAAGGCAGTAGGGCCCCAACCAGCACTGACCCCAGTAGGGCCAGCAATTTTGTGCATACACCTGAGTTCCAGGATGCACAGCAGGCTATGTCAGTAATGAGGGAAGCACAGAGTGAGAGATTTCTCACTCTGAGGTGGGGGCTGCAGGAAGTCCTTGCAAAGGAGCAAGCATCAAAGATGAGGCTGARGGGTGAATGGAAACCAAACCCACAGGCCAGGAGAGGGGCAGCTGAGGGGTGAACTCAGCATAAGCAAAGGCAGAGGGGTGRGGATCTGCAAAGGCTGCATGGAGAGCTTTCACCCATGTGACCCAGGCCACTCTCCATCCCCACAGCCGGGGCTCCCCATCTTGCTGCCTTCAAGGATCCCCTGGTGGAAGCCACCATCATGGTATATGCTACCATCACCTCGCAGCTGCTGCCCACTCCAGCCAAGTCCCACTATACCTTCAATCTAAGGGATCTCTCCAAGGTCTTCCAGGGCATGCTCATGGCTGACCCAGCCAAGGTTGAGGTAAAAATCTGGCAGGCTGTCTCCCCAGCACCCACAGCCCTCTCCACCCTCCTSGCCCCCCATACTGCCCAAAGGCTCCCGTGTCGTGATCCAGCTTGGCCCACAGTGGGGCTGGGACATGCAGGTGCCAGGACCCCACTAGCCTGGCCTTTGTGCAGCTGAGCCTATCCTGTAGGTCGAACTCATATTTGGAATGGCCTGATGGGGGTCACACAGAAGAGGGAGCCAGGGCAAGTAGGAGAGGCCAGATGTGTGAGACTATCTGGGAGGACTACCAAGAACCAAAGACCCCCAGGTAGAAGGAGCAGGAAGTGCAGCAGTCAGTGGGGTGTCAGATGCTCTGGGCCAGACTCAAGGCTGTGGGGCTCCAGCGTAGAGCTCATATTTCACCCTGAGGGTGATGAGAATCATGTGGAGCCATGGATTGGACAACTAGTGTGTGTGGCCGGGAGGCTAGGGTGAACAAGACAGAAGCCAAACCGGCCTTGCTGAGCATATAGTCAAAGGAGTCTCGAGAAGAGCCTGGGGACTTCCTGAGGGTGGTCCAGTTGTCCTGGGAGAGKCAGGGATGCTGGGATGGAGATGGCAGCAGAACCAGAGATGGAAAGAGGAAAAGATTCAAAGGAGATTTTTAGGGTTTGTTGAGTGGTGAGGTGTGGGGTGTCAGGAAGGTGAACCAGGCCTCTTTCCTGGGCTTGGGGTCTCGACAGCTAAAAGAGGGAAAGTGATAATCTTGAGGCTGGTGGAGCTGGGTGCCCATCAGGAGCTTGGCCAGCTGGGCCTGGAGCTGAGGGTGGAGAGGCCTGGGCAGCACTGTGCAGTTCCTCTGTCCTCCGTCGGTCAGCAGATAACACCTTCCACAGCCCCTGAGTGTGGCTCTGCTTGGGTTGTGGTAGGAGCCGGGCCCAGATCAGGGGCCTAGGAGCTGTGRCTCCTACTCCTCCCATTCCTGGTGCTTCAAGATGGCTAAGACCCCCTGGGGCCAAAGGCTGGCAACTGATGCTGGGGTGCCCACAGGACAAGGTGCAACTACTGCGACTGTGGTACCACGAGAACTGTCGCGTGTTCCGCGACCGACTGGTGAACGAGGAGGATCGCAGCTGGTTTGACAAGCTCCTAAAAGGCCACATGGAGAAGTGGGAGGTGACCTTTGAAAAGGTCTGCCCCTTCCAGCCCATTCTTTACGGGGACTTCATGGCACCAGGCTCGGATGTGAAATCCTATGAACTCATCACCAGCGAGCAAAAGGTGAGGGAGTCCAGGCTGGTACCTTACCCTTGGTGAATCCTCTTCAGTCTGCTCCTTGGGACCCAGGCCCTCTATGGTCACCACCAGGGAAGTCAGGCAGGCTCTTGGCTCCTCTGAGGCCATGTTTCCCAGCCCATCTCTGAGAATGAGCCTATGGTTCAACTGAGAAGGACTTGGGGGACAAGTCCTATAAATGGGGACATGCAAGGCCAACCTGAATGTTATCATTCCCACCCCTAAAGGGGGAAGCAGGGGCTCTGGAGATACAGCKTTTAGCTAGGACCCTAGGTAGACAGAGTTGGGGCCTCTATCAGTGGCCTGCATGGTTAGAGAGGGCCTCCTAAGGACTCTCTTCCACCTACATCTTCTCCTACTTCCTATAACTCCCACCAGGGTCCCAGGGCCAGTACCACCTGGTGATCCCCAGAGGAAGCAGGCAGGACTCTGATCCTGACCCTCAGAGCTGGATGACGCATCTTGTGGGTCTGGTCTCTTTCAGGACAGCATCCCTCCATGCACAGAAAGATCAGGGCCAGCTGCAAGAGCYGGTGAGCTCCTTGTTAGGGAAACACTTGGTGCACAGGGTTCCAACCAGTTGAACCCATGGCTGGAGTCACTGCCAAAGCAGTGGCAAAGAGATTTCCACAAGGAACTTCCTCAAACCATCCCAAGGCGGAGCTCCCTGGGATTCCAAAAAAAAAAAAGATGGCACTGTATGCCAGGGCAATCCATCTGAAGYTTTTCTCAGGGGATCTTACATATAGAGGGGGCTGCTGCTTCCCCATAATTCACTGTGTGACAAGAAATGTTCTAGTATGTTCACAAGGGGGTGGGTGATGGAGTTTWTATGGGGTTTAGGGAACTTGGCTGRAGGTGGAGCTAACTTCTACATGGAGYGACATGGCGGATCATTCAGCGTTTCAAGTAATGACCTAAATCAGTTTATCAGTGACTGGGAACATTCAAAGCATCAGTTTGGGTTCATGCCTGTAGAGGAATAGCTTTAGCTGGCCAGATCACAGAGTGGTTGGGATACTCTGTATTTCTTGGTTGAGACAGACCAAAGTGAGAGGTGCCAAGGAGACCCTCCCATGGAGGAGAGCCAGCACCCCCATCTTTACCTCCATTGCCCCCAGATGATGCARGTCATCGAGGAGTACATGGAGGACTACAATCAGATCAACACAGCCAAGCTGAAGCTGGTCCTCTTCATGGACGCCATGAGCCAYATCTGCCGCATCAGCCGTACTCTGCGTCAGGCACTGGGCAACGCACTCCTGCTGGGCGTGGGTGGCAGTGGACGCAGCTCCCTCACGAGACTTGCCTCGCACATGTGAGGGCCCCTGGGCTTGGTGGACAGTGGGCAACCAGTGGCAGTGGTGTTTTTTCATGTTGGTGGACGTTTGGGGTAGTCCTAAGATTGTCCTTCCATGGGCTCAGGAAGGACTGGGAATGGGACCTAAACCCCAACAAGAGGCAAAAGCAGGGTGCCCTGTAGTGCTGTGGGGAGGGAGGTATAGCTGCAGGCAACCTGGAGGGCTTCATAGGGGAGACGTCCATTTCTCAATATCAGAGTGGGGAGGGTATCAGAGATGGAAGGGTATTTCAGGCTGAGAACAACTTAAAGAAAAGTTGAGAGGCAAGAGAGCAGGTTCAGGGTCTGGAGAGTCTGCAAGTTCTCCCAGAATAGAAGCAAGACTCCAGATAGCTGGGCAGGGTGTGGGTGTCTACCACTAGTCCATGCCTGGTCCCAGGCCCCTGGCACACCTTGACCCAAACTCCTGCCTCTAGGGCTGAGTACGAGTGCTTCCAGATTGAGCTATCCAAGAACTATGGCATGTCTGAGTGGCGTGAGGATGTCAAGAAGGTCCTGCTCAAAGCCGGCCTGCAAAACCAGCCCATCACCTTCCTGTTCTCAGACACTCAGGTGCTACCAGCATGGCAGTAGGCAGGGTTTAGGGTGGGCTGGACACAATGCCATCCCAGTGTGGCATCCTGGGCCTAGCTCACTGTCAGTCAGGGCAGACGTGGGGAGGAACTGGCAGGACCAGATGGACTGGGCAGGAGCGTARGGCCAAACTAACCTTTTGGAACTAAGGGGAACATAGATCATTACTCATTCTCCAAGAGTGTCATGGCCAATGGCTTCCCACTTTAAGGACTTGTGCTGGAGACCCATGGCTTCCTTCTGAGGGGCTGCTCCCTCRGGAGCTCCTTGGGCGTGAGGCCTCTCCCAGGGCTGAGGAGAGGCTGTTGCTCTGAAGCCACAAGACAAATTGTGCAGCACTTAAGCCTGGCTGGCAATTAAGATTGGGCCTGGGGACCTAAGCTGAATCTCCAGAATGTACCCCATTCTGGACAAGGGTCCCTATGCTCCCAACCCTGCCTCAGTCCCAGGGATCCCTTTAGTCAGTCACTGAATCAGTAAATTGAAGATGCCTCTGACACAGACCGGGTGTCTCTGCCCAAAGATTCTGTGAGCAAACTGGGGTGTGGAGGCTGGGAAGTGAACAGGAAGATACCACCCACCCCCAGGACCCAGGGTCCTGTCAAAGCCCAGCAGTTCTGCTCAGAGCCTCTGCAGCAGGTCAGGGTGGGTGCAGGTCCATTGCTATGACTTACAAGACCACTGAGTGACCCCGGGCTCCTGAGAACCATAGYGGCACAGTCTGTAGAAGGGGCTGTTGTAAAGGTCCAGCGGGACTGTGGTCATGGAGCTCACCACACMGCAGCCATCATAAAGGCTTAGTTCCCCACCCCTCATCCTTCCACAGATCAAGAACGAGTCCTTTCTGGAGGACATCAACAATGTCCTGAACTCAGGCGACATTCCCAACATCTACAGCCTTGATGAGCAGGACCAGATTGTCAACACCATGAGGCCCTATATCCAGGAGCAGGGCCTGCAGCCCACCAAGGCCAATCTCATGGCTGCCTACACGGGGCGCGTACAAAGCAACATCCACTTGGTGCTGTGCATGAGGTAGAGGCAGCCATTGTCAGGCCACACTGGGGCCTCAAGTCTGGGGAGACAGGGATGCTGAAGGCCTGGGTGTGTAGGTCTGAGATAAAATGTGGCCCCAGGCCCGGCCATCTTACTGTTGGGACCGGGCCGCTATGCTAGTATGCCCTGGCTGCCATGCCACAGGGCTGTCCTGGGATCCTAGGGGTGTAAGTCAGTGTCTCTGGGCCTCATTTTGATCCTGGGCCTGCAGCCCCATTGGAGAGATCTTCCGAGCTCGCCTGAGGCAGTTCCCCTCCCTCGTCAACTGCTGTACCATTGACTGGTTTAACGAGTGGCCAGCAGAGGCCCTGGAATCCGTGGCCACCAAGTTCCTRCAAGAGATCCCAGAACTGGAATCTTCTGCCGAAATCATTAAAGGACTGGTAGGTGTCTTGGTGAGGATCAAGCTCTCAGGGAGAACTGTTTCATTTGGGGAATGGACTTAGAAGTTCCTGAGGCTTGGGTGAGAGGCCCATGCCCACCATCAACAGTAAGCCTTTGGTCGGACAGTTTTGCCTAAGTCTCAATTTCCTCATCTGTACTAGGGAGTGGCACAGGTCTAGGGTAGTATAGAATGCTTGGCATATGGGTACGTGGTTCCTGTTTCCTTTCTTCCCTCGGGGTTTCATGGCAGGTTTTTTCTTCCAAGAACCCCCCTAACAAGACTCCAGAGACCACAGGTAGAGGTGGGCTGGTGTGTTCATCAGCTTTGCATTACTGTGACCAAAATACCTGACAAGAGCAACTTAAAGGACAAAATGTTAATTTGGGGCTTACAGTTGCAGAGGTTCCCTCCATGGTCAACCGATTCCATTGCAGAACATCATGGCGGAAGGTCATAGTGGAAGAAAGCTGTCAGCTCAGGGCAGCCATGAAGCAGAGAGAAAGCTAGGCACCAGGGACAAAATATAAACACACCTGCAGTGACCTACTTCCTGTAGCCATACCCTGCCATCTGTGGTTACTACCCAGTACAGTATTCTTTCAAATGATTGATCCATCAAATGGATTAATCCACCGATCAGATCATGGCTCTCATAATCTAATCATTTTACCTCTGAACATTCCTGCATTATCTAACATGAACTTTTTGGCGGGGGTTGTGTGTACCAGAGACTGAACCCTTAGGAAGTGCTTAACCATCCATTTTTATTTTTTGTTTTGAGACAGGGTCTTTCTAAATTGCTTAGGGCCTTGCTAAGTTGCTGAAGCCGACCTCAGTGTTGTGATCTTCCTGCTTCAGTCTCCCAAGTCACTGGAATTATAGACATGTGCCACCACACCTGGCTAATATGAGACTTTTTTTTTTTTGAGGGACACCTCACATCCAAACCATTACAACCAAATCTGTTGGATAGAACCTCATAGAGTAATGGCCTTCTGGCGATCAAGATTTAAGTCAAACACCACATTTTCCCCACCCGGCTATGGTTGGGCCTTGCACCTTCTTTTCCCATAGTTCCAGCCTTGGAGAGGACACACCATAGATCTCTCAGTGAGAGGCAAGTCATGGAAGCTGTGACAAGAACACTGGGCCACAGTTAGGAGACACCTGGGTCCATATTCAAAGCCAATTCTGGGCCTTGGGGTTTCATCTGCATAAGAGGTGACTTGAACTGGAGGTTGTAAGGATCTTGGGAAAGACTGAGGTATGGGGATGCCATGGCCCCCTCCTTGGGACCAGGATGTAGTAACTTTGTGGGTACTCAGTATACTGTCTTTGCAGGGGGACCATAAAACCAGCATCAGTTGTCTCCCCTATGCAGACTCAGGTTTGCGTGTATATCCACCAATCAGTGGCCAAGAAGTGCATCGAGTACCTGGCAGAGCTGGCCCGCCACAATTATGTGACCCCCAAGAGCTATTTGGAGTTGCTCCATATTTTCTCCATCCTCATTGGGCAGAAGAAGCTGGAGCTTAAAACTGCCAAAAACCGCATGAAGAGTGGCCTTGATAAGGTGGGTTTGGGGGAGGCTGGTGGACAGTAGCTATAGTTCCGCCTGCTGGGTGTTTGCCAGGGTGACCCAGCATTTGAAACTGCAGCCCACAGTGTTTAAACAGGTGATTCCCTCCCTCCATGAAAGAATAAAAGTTATCAGCCAAAGATGAGGCTAAAGCAGGCTATCCCGCAAATTCTTGGAGACTGGGCATCTTACTTTGGGGTCCACTGAGCAACGTGGGAGTCACTGAAATTGCTATGGCCCCCCTCTCAGGAATGGGGGTAACCCAACAGGTCCCTTTCCAGATCCTCCAGACCTGGCRTGCTCTCTCTCTCTCTCTCCTCTCTCTCTCTCTCTCTCTCTCCCCTGTCACACCTGTTTTACCCTCTGTTTCCCCCACCCTCCAGTTACTGCGGACTTCTGAAGATGTAGCCAAGATGCAGGAAGAGCTGGAGGTTATGCGTCCCCTGCTGGAAGAGGCTGCCAGGGACACTGTGCTCACTATGGAGCAGATCAAGGTTAGGAGTGCTCCAGGACCCTCCCCCCGCTACCCTCTCGATGCCTGGCTCTGTCTGAAGATGCTCAGCATCTCCAGACAATCACCAGATCATTAGCTACCCGACTTCCTCAAGTTATTTAGTCTTTGCGTGCCTCAGTTTCCCTATTTGGCAGTTACCCGTTTATTTGGCAAGTGGTTGGTCAGAACTTATCCTATGGTAGGTGCTCCCTGGGCTAGGGATGAAGAGTAGCCTTGATAAGGTGGGTTTGGGGGAGGCCTTTGGACAGTAACTGCAGTTCTGTCTGCTGGGCAGAACAGAGCAAGGCAGATGAACCCAAGCAACACCAATAATCACAACACAGACTGAGTGGCAGGGTTGCCACTGGCAGACATGTAGATTCTGCACAACAGGAGGGCCTGCCTTTGAAGGCCCCAAATTCCCTCTAAACCTCATCAAACTTGTACATTCATTATGAAAGTTTTCGGGCAGTAGTCCAGGGTCCTGCTCTACAAGTCAAGATATTGCAAAATTTTCCCAGAAGAAAGGTAGGAGGAATGCCTTTCTTTRTTGTACTTGAAGGGACCCTGTCAGGGGCAGGTATGCTCAAAGCTGGACTGGAGCCCCAACCAGCCCCATGGTGAGGATTCAGGATGCAGAAGAGGCAGCTGGCCTTCCCAGATCTCTATGACCTGTCACAACCGGGAGGGCCCTTGGAGAATAGGACATCCCAATTCTCATTTCCTTCCTTCTGGGAAGACCAAGATATAAAGGGGAGAAACGGAAGTAAAGCACGCTCTGTCTCTGTCACGGGCCACTAGCTGGGTTCCCCCTGTCTCCCATCCCCAGGCGGATACAACCATTGCYGAGGAGACCCAGAAATCAGTGCAGGCGGAGGAGATAAAGGCCAATGAGAAGGCCAGAAAAGCACAAGCTATTGCTGATGATGCTCAGAAGGATCTGAATGAGGCACTCCCAGCCCTGGATGCGGCCCTGGCCAGCCTGCGCAACCTCAACAAGAGTGATGTGACTGAGGTGAGCAGCCGGGTGCCACCTGGCATGCACTCTTTTTTTTGGGGGGGGGGGGTACCGTGAATTGAACTCAGGGACACTCAACCATTGAGCCACATCCCCAGCCCTATTTTGTATTTAGAGACAGGGACTCACTGAGTTGCTTAGTGCCTCACTTTTGATGAGGCTGGCTTTGAACTCCGGATCCTCCTGTCTCAGCCTCCTGAGCTGCTGGGATTACAGGCATAGGATACTGCGCCCGGGTGTTACTAACTCTTGTGTTCTTTTCTGGTGTCCTCTTGGGTCCGGTGGTGTTTCTGGGCCCTCCCTCTGCACATCTCTTGGAGGCCATGTGTCAGGAGGTGGGCAGAATGAGGGCTAGACCCCAGCTGCCTGGGCCTTCCCACCTTTTGCCTACCCCCAGGAAGCCACAGGCTTGAATCTGACCTCAGAGAATCTTTGGGCATACATTTGGCCCTAAGACAATAGGGACTTATTTGGCAGGGCCCATTCGGTCTGACAGATTTCCTGTCTGGGGTAACCATTCAATAATGGACCTCCTCCTTCACCACGTCATGCTTTGGCTCACAGGTGCGTGCCATGCAGCGGCCACCCCCAGGCGTGAAGTTGGTCATAGAAGCTATGTGCATCATGAAGGGTATCAAGCCCAAGAAGGTACCTGGAGAGAAACCGGGCACCAAAGTGGATGACTACTGGGAGCCAGGCAAGGGGCTTCTGCAGGACCCGGGTCGCTTCCTAGAGAGTCTCTTCAAGTTTGACAAGGTGAACATGTCAGGCACCTGGGCCAGCCAGGGGGTGAGGACAGGACCCAACAGAGCAGGGAAGCATGTGGGGAGCTGCATCTCTCTGCCTACTCCCTGTCCCCACCAGTAGCACCCTGTGGGCCACATGATGAGTGGGACCATGGGGCATGGAGCCTGCCCTGAGGAGCTCTCTGTCTGGTAGAGTGGCAGCAAACCCACCAACAGATGGACATTGAGGAAACAGGGATCAGGGTAGGCTCCTGGGGCCCATAGGATGTCACCCACAGTCATTCCAAGGCTCTACAGTCTAAAGATTCCCTTTCATGCTCTTTCCTTCCCGGATCCTCATGGCCTTGGCCAAGACCTTCACTGTGTGCTCTACAATCAGCTCTCTTCCTTAGCTTCAGCATCTGAGCTTCAACTTCCCTTATATGTCTCTGGATTTCTCTGTCTGTCCATGTGGGGCTCTCAGTACCCAGGTGAAAGTGCTCTCTCATAAGCTGAGCCATGGTTAGATCAGACTGGAGCCTGCAGCCCCCTTTAGAGGAACTCTCTCCAGCCCAGAAACTGGTCAAGGGCAGCTGCCTGTTGACCACCAGGTGCCAGGATCAAGGATTGGACATCCCTCACACTGAGTTCAGAGAATGGAGACAGTGGGCCATCTCAGCAGCCACTGGACCCCCTTTTGRCTACACCATTCTTCCTCCTCCTCTTCCATCAGATGGAAAATCAGAGAGACCCAGAGGCCTATTTAAGCCTCTCTGAAAGAAGCATCCAGCCAGGAGTGCTCAGGGCCAGGGCTCAGGCTCCCCTGGACCCGCCCCAAGCTCAAACCTCTGGGAGTTCCTTAGCAATGCAGTTTCCTAGGTGCATTGTGAACTACCAGGGGTCACCTCTCCCCAGGTGGGACAAGAGCCACAGGGTGTGGGAAGCTCTTGGGACCTGGTTGGGCATCAGAACCCCTCCCTCTTCTCCACACCTCCTTGCACTATTGTCCTCAAGAAAGAATGCTTGACTTTCATTTTGTTTTTAAATGGGGACTTGTATATGATCAGACCTTGAGGCTTCTGAAGAATTCATGTGAAATTCTGRGAACACTGACATTTCCTGTTCGCTCAGCCTTTCTGGGCTGTTTTCTCTTTAAGGAGAAGGGCACTGTACTGCACAGGGCATAGGAAATAGAAACAGGATCTGYRTGTCCCGGCAGAGCCCCTCCCCTGCCACCAAGGTGCTTTCTGAGGTCTTGATTCCCATCCCAGGACAACATTGGGGATGTGGTGATCAAGGCCATCCAGCCATATATTGACAATGAGGAGTTCCAGCCAGCTGCCATTGCCAAGGTGTCCAAGGCCTGTACCTCTATCTGCCAGTGGGTACGCGCCATGCACAAGTACCACTTTGTGGCCAAGGCTGTGGAGCCCAAGCGGGTGAGGAGCAAGTACAGCGGGTGCAGAACTGGCTCCCCCTCACCCACCACCCCAGGTGCTTGCTGGCAAATTCCCCCCCCCCCCCCCCCCGCATCCTCTGCCTGCAGCAAGCCCTGCGGGAGGCCCAGGATGACCTGGAGGTGACACAGAAGATCCTGGAAGAGGCCAAGCAGCGCCTGCGGGAGGTGGAGGAGGGCATCGACACCATGCAGGCAAAGTACCGAGAATGCATCGCCAAGAAGGAGGAGCTGGAAGTGAAGTGTGATCAGTGTGAGCAGCGGCTGAACCGGGCTGACAAGGTGTGTGCCTCCCGACAGGGGCCAGGGGGTTCTGGGTTGTCTTAGCAACCTCAGGAGCTGCAGTGGGCAGGGCCAGTCCCAGCCCCCATCCTAGCATCCCAGAGCCTTCCCGTGGTGCTACCCCTGCAGCTCATCAATGGACTGTCGGATGAGAGGGTGCGTTGGCAGGAGACAGTGGAGAACCTGGAGAACATGCTTGACAACATCTCTGGTGATGTGATAGCGGCCGCCGGCTTTGTGGCCTACCTGGGCCCCTTTACAGTAAGGAGCCTCCAGCTCTGCCTCTGACCAGCCTCACCTCCCAAAGAGACCCTCCTTTAAGGTCTCACCTCCCAGAGGGCAGCCTGCAGGGCTAGACCTCTGAGCCAAGTTCTGGGGACACAGCACTGCACAGAATAGCCACCGTGTGGGGCTGGCCCTAGTGGGAACATGAGAGCTCACATAGGCGCAACTGTGTGTGCCAGGCTCTGCCCTAAATGCTTCTTCCTGGGTCCCATTTAGTCCACCCAGCTGCCTGTACAGGTGGGTGGTGTTAGTGTTACCCCTGTTTCAGAGATGAAGGATGAGGTTTGTGGAATCCCCAAGTTGCCTGAAGCAAGTCCCTAGCTCCACATCCGAGCTCTGACCTGGGTGCAGAATTGTGGTGTAGCAGGAGGTGAAGAGGGTACCAGGGCTGTCTAGTGCAGCGGTCCTGAGTCAGGCATCTTCCAGGGCCAGTACCGCACAGCGCTCTATGACCAGTGGATCCAGCAGCTCACAAAACATAAAGTCCCGCACTCCTCCGAGCCCTCGTTGATTGGGACACTGGGGAACCCTGTGAAGATCCGCTCATGGCAGGTACTGGCAACAGGAGGCAGGAGTGATCTGACGGGGCTGCAGGGCAGGAACCTCCTGTCTCACTCGTTCACACTCTCTTTTCTGGCATCTGGTTCAGAGGTGTCTCCCCAGATCCTTGCCAGGTCTGGCAAGAGGGTGGAGGACAGGAGAAGAGGAGAAAACTAGGCGGTACAACACAGATGCTAGCTAAATGGGAGGAGAGGGCTTAAGGGGGACTTTTAAGAGTAGAAGAGTGGTCAGACACAATGGCACACACCTGTAATCCCAGCAACTCGGGAGGCTAAGGCTGGAGGATCATGAGTTCAAAACCAGCTTCAGCAACTTACGGAGGCTCCAAGCAACTTAGCAAGAGCCTATCTCTAATAAAACATTTTAGAAAAGGGCTGGGGATGTGGCTCAGTGGTTGAGCACCCTGGGTTCAATCCCAGGTGCAAAAAAAAAAAGTTGGGATAGGGCGGAGGAGCAGTGTCCAGGGGGAGGTTTAAGAAAGTTTTCTAGAAAGAAGTCATATCTCAATGGAATATAACTCAGCCTTAAACAAGAATGAAATTATGGCATTTGCTGGTAAATGAATGCAACTGGAGAATATTATGCTAAGTGAAATAAGCTGATCCCAAAGAACCAAAAGCCAAATGTTTTCTCTGATATTCTGATGCTAATTCACAAGGGGATGTGGACAATAGAGGTATTTTGGACTAGACAGAGGGGAGTGAAGAGAGGGGGTGGGGTATGGGGATAGGAAGGATAGTGGAATGAATCAGACATTGTTATTCTATGTGCATATATGATTACATGACCTGTGTAATTCTACATTATGTATAACCAGACGAATGAAAAGTTATACTCCATTTATGGATGTGTCTGATGTGTCAAAAATGCATTCTACTATTGTGTATAACTAATTAGAACAAATAGAAAAAAATATGTTAAAAAAAAGTCAAGTCTGAAGTAAACCCTGAAGGAAGGGGAAGGTTAGTTGGCAAAAGGAAAGAACATAAAGGCTATTGGCAGAGGCCAAATGTGGGAAACCGCCAGGATGGCCAACGGGTGGGCTTTGTGAAGGTGGTATCAAGAACTCCGTAGACATGAGGACAGAGAGGCCCAGTGGAAGAGGGCATCAGGAGCCAGCCCAGGAGCAAGGGAGAGGTAGGCGCCCTGGGGACTGAGACCTTGCCCACGCTTCCCCTGCCCCACACATCTGAGGGCTGAAATAAGGGGTAAGAGGTCTACAGCCAAAGCATGAGGTTGGAGCAGCAATGCCCCCAGTTGACCCTGCTTGTCAGACCTGGCTCAGTCTGGTACCCGGTTTCCCACAGATTGCTGGCCTCCCAAATGACACTTTATCAGTGGAGAATGGGGTCATCAATCAGTTCTCCCAGCGCTGGACCCACTTCATTGACCCCCAGAGCCAGGCCAACAAATGGATCAAGAACATGGTATAAGCCCGCCAACCAAGACTGCCATCCCACCCCGGCTGGGCTGAGCACATGGAGGGGCAGCTGAGTCTCAAACTCAGTCCCAATCTGCCCCCTCCCCCTCCAGGAGAAAGACAGTGGGCTGGATGTGTTCAAGCTGAGTGACCGCGACTTCTTGCGCAGCATGGAGAATGCCATCCGCTTTGGAAAGCCGTGCCTTCTGGAGAACGTGGGCGAGGAACTAGACCCAGCCCTAGAGCCCGTGCTGCTCAAGCAGGTGGGCCAGTGGGGGGAGGATGCACACGGGCTATAGGCCTGGACAAGGAGGTGCCATGCTGGTGAACTCAGGCCCCATGCACCGGCCTGTCCACAGACATACAAGCAACAGGGGAACACAGTGATGAAGCTGGGGGACACAGTGATCCCCTACCATGAGGACTTCAGGATGTACATCACCACCAAGCTGCCCAACCCGCACTACACGCCCGAGATCTCCACTAAACTCACCCTCATCAACTTCACTCTGTCACCCAGGTAAGCCCCCACTGGGGATCTCCAAGCATCAGCTCTGCCTCCTCCTACCCAGCTGCTCCTTGGCTACCCCAGGCTGGGACTTGGCCAGCAGGGGTGAGGGGAGTCTTTTCCCATTTTAGAGCCCCACCAGCTTCTTCCCAATCCCTCTGGCATTCCAAAGTTTTTGGCCCTCGTACCTGTCAAAGTTTCTACCTATGAAGCATCTGTGCTAAGGCCTCCGTTTGGTGGCCACTGTGAACCTCTCAAGTCAGTCTGTCCATATTGGTCACCCACAGCCCCCTCCTGCTGAGGAAGAAKTGTTCAGAGACCCCAACATGAACTGGTCAGCTCCTGCTGCGATTCCAGGCTGCCACCTGAGGTCTCACTGAGAACCATTTGCTCTAAAGGCAGGTTCTGTACCACCCCTGCAGCCTGAGATGGAGGCCAGGCCTCCTAAGCTGACACTGACAAGGACACTGGGCTCTTGGAGTTCTGGGAGCACAAGTCGATAAGTGAGCAGGCTCAAAGCTAGCTGTCTGGGGCTCACCAGGTATTATAAACAAGGTTTCTCCTGCCCCTGGCAGTGGCCTAGAGGACCAGCTACTGGGCCAGGTAGTGGCTGAGGAGCGACCCGACTTAGAGGACGCCAAGAACCAGCTGATTATTAGTAATGCCAAGATGCGTCAGGAGCTCAAGGACATTGAAGACCAGATCCTGTACCGGCTCAGCTCCTCTGAGGGCAACCCTGTGGATGACATGGAGCTCATCAAAGTGCTAGAGGCTTCCAAGATGAAGGCTGCTGAGATCCAGGTGGGCAAGTGCCTGGCCTGCCCACCCACCTGCCCCTCCCCATCTGCCCCAGGCCTGGAGCCTACTCCCCATCCACCTCCATTTTTTGTTCTTTGCCAGCCTACCTAGGCTTGACACCCCTCCCACTGTACCCCCAGGCCAAGGTCAGGATTGCAGAGCAGACAGAGAAGGACATTGACCTCACGCGCATGGAATACATACCCGTGGCAGTCCGCACCCAGATCCTCTTCTTCTGTGTGTCCGACCTGGCCAATGTGGACCCCATGTACCAGTACTCCCTCGAGTGGTTCCTCAATATCTTCCTCTCAGGCATTGCCAACTCAGAGAGGGCAGGTAACCCTGGGACCACAGGCACAATGGACCTCCCCCATTCCCAACACAGACAGGACACATGTGCCATACATTTCCATTGTGAGGCACATACATACATAAACTCACACCTAGGTTCACGGACACATGTTTCCCATCAGCCTCACGGTACCTACGTACACACTCACTACTCCCTGCCCTTATTGCAAACACCAGCTGCCCAAGGAGATGCCCAGACAGTTCCTGTGTCTGCTGGGAGACTGGCTAGACTGAGTTGGATCCTGGGATCTTCCTTCCTCTCCCTTCTCCCTGCACTCTGCTATCACCTCTCTGCCCTGCAGAAAACCTGAAGAAGCGCATCAGCAACATCAACCGCTACCTGACCTATAGCCTCTACAGCAACGTCTGCCGCAGCCTCTTTGAGAAGCACAAGCTGATGTTCGCTTTCCTACTGTGCGTCCGCATCATGATGAACGAGGGCAAAATCAACCAGGTGCAGAAGCGGGGAGATGGCCTGGTGGGCTGACTGCCTAAGGGGCTGCCCTGTTGTGGGCTTGAGAGAACCCGGTCAATGGAAAGAGAAAGTCGGGTGCAGGAGCACAGAAAGAGCTGAGGGATAGAGGCCTAAGAAAACACAGTTCCTTGGTTAAATACAACAGGAGACCCTGGGTAAATTGTGGCCCACCAACGTTGTGAACACAGGCCTTCTTAGAGCCAGTGAGCATAGAAACCATCCCCAGGGACAGACAGTCCTGAGCCTCCCACAACTGTTTGATCAAGAGGTCCCACAGAATACATAACCAGGAAAACGGCAGAGCAGGGACACTAACTTGGACCTGTTTGACTGAACATCCTGAAGGATGACTCAGTTTTTCTAGGTTGGGGATCCAGAGGCAGGAAGGAGCCAGCCACAGAGCCTAGGCATCAACATGCCCTGTCCCCTGCCAGGCTGAATGGCGCTACCTCCTGTCTGGGGGCTCTATCCAGAGCATGACTGAGAACCCTGCACCAGACTGGCTGTCAGACCGGGCCTGGCGAGATATCTTGGCACTCTCGAACCTGCCCACATTTTCTTCCTTCCCCTTGGATTTCACAAAGCACCTCTCAGAATTCCGAGTCATCTTTGACAGCCTTGAGCCCCACCGGTGAGCTGGGTTCCAGAGCATGGCAGGATGGGAACAGGGAGGAGGTGAGGCCTCTGGAACCTGCCCAGGAAGCTTCTCCAAGGGACCAATCAGGGTGCTATGCAGCTGTGACCACATCTCTCCTATGCCCCTCAACCCTGTGCTCTTGGGACACCATACTCTCCCCTGCTGTCCAGCTGGGAGAATCCTGGGGTCAGAGGCTTCCCACAGGCTGGTTTTCAGGAAGATGTGGGCACTATTGCAGGCAGCCCTTGCCTGGCATCTGGGACCAATTCCTGGACCAGTTCCAGAAGCTGCTGGTCCTCCGCTGCCTGCGTGGGGACAAGGTTACCAATGCCATGCAGGACTTTGTGGCCACCAACCTGGAACCACGCTTCATTGAACCCCAGGCAAGTGCTGGTACCCAGGCAGAGCTGGCACCCTGGGTCTCAAGGGCCTCATTGCACCTAAGTACACTACCTTGCAGACTTGGCCAGGTCAGGACTCCTTTCCATCCCCAAAGAATCTGGAAGGTTCCAGGTCCCACCAGGAAGCCTGTCTGGGACCTCTCCAAGAACCCCAGGAACCCCCTTTCCTTGTCCTGGTCCCTGTCTCTCATCAGCCCCAGGTGGTCCAAGGATCTCTCCCTGTCATTGCAGACGGCCAACCTGTCATTGGTGTTCAAAGAGTCCAACTCCACCACACCTCTCATCTTTGTACTGTCACCTGGCACAGACCCTGCTGCTGACCTCTACAAGTTTGCTGAAGAGATGAAGTTCTCTAAGAAGCTATCTGCCATCTCCTTGGGCCAGGGGCAGGTGAGGGCTAGGCAGGGAGAAGGAGAGTGGGCGGGGGGGGGCAGCTTTCCCCCACCACTCAGTGCTTCTGCCCCTCACAGGGCCCTCGGGCAGAAGCCATGATGCGCAGCTCCATAGAGAGGGGCAAGTGGGTCTTCTTCCAGAACTGCCACCTGGCGCCAAGCTGGATGCCAGCTTTGGAGCGCCTCATCGAGCACATCAACCCTGACAAGGTATGCCATGCTGCCTGTTACAGACTTGCTGAAGGGACTTATAATCTATCCATCAAGTACTGATAAGGCTTAAATGAGATTATCCTGCACACTCAATCCAGCCCAGGGCACATAGCAAGTGCTCAATAACTGTCATAGGCACCATGCATTGACTAAATTAACCAAGTTATTGGGTCTCATAGCCTGGCGACTTACCCAGGGTTACCCAGCACAGATAGGGTGACCCTAGGACTTGCAAAAGCTCATATTCTTAACTAGCTGTCAATGCAACCTTTCCTGGCCTGCTCAGAGCCCCTTGGGTAGAAGGGGAGCTTGGTGTTGGGTCTCAGTGTTCACGAGGAGCCATGCCCCTCAGGTGCACCGGGACTTCCGCCTATGGCTCACCAGCCTGCCCAGCAACAAGTTCCCAGTGTCCATCCTGCAGAATGGCTCCAAAATGACTATTGAGCCACCACGTGGTGTCAAGGCCAACCTGCTGAAGTCCTACAGCAGCCTCACTGATGACTTCCTCAATTCCTGTCGCAAGGTGAGACATGCTCTGTGCGTGTCTGTCTGCCGGCCCTGCCCCCATCTCTTTGCCTCATGCACCCCACCCCACCCCCACCCAACTCCCACAGATGATGGAGTTCAAGTCCCTGCTGCTGTCTCTGTGCCTATTCCATGGGAATGCACTGGAGCGTCGTAAGTTTGGGCCTCTGGGTTTCAACATCCCCTACGAGTTCACAGATGGAGACCTGCGCATCTGCATCAGTCAGCTCAAGATGTTCCTAGACGAGTATGAGGACATCCCCTACAAGGTGGGCCAGGAACAGGTTGGGAACAGGGGCCAGGTACTTGTGTGGGGTCCTCACCAACCCACCCCACAGGTCCTCAAGTACACGGCAGGGGAGATCAATTATGGGGGTCGCGTCACAGACGACTGGGACCGCCGCTGTGTCATGAATATCCTGGAGGACTACTACAAGCCTGCCGTACTCTCCCCTGATCATGTCTACAGTAACTCGGGCATCTACCACCAGATCCAACCCACCTATGACCTCAATGTGAGGCCACCTGCAAGGATTGAGCAGGAGGGGGCTTGCCTGGCTGGATTTCTGGGGTATCATGAACACCTCAGTGCTGGGTGAAAGGAGGCAGGGCCGTCCAGGGGCTCGTTTTCAGTGTTGAAACCATCTCAGGGTAAGGGAGGCAGAGTCAGTCCCCACCCACTGAAAAGCAGGTTCTGGGGAGAGATAGACCCCACTTGAGCCACTCTGTGTGTGATTACTCAGAGCAAGTTGGGGCAGCTCCTCCAAGATGATAACAGAGTCATGCTATGCAGTCAGGAAAGGCTCCCTGAGGACATGATACCTCTACTGAGATGAGTGGACAGAAGTCATGAGCCAAGGCTGGGTTGGGTGGGCACCAATGCAGGAGGGAGCATATGGGTTTGAGCAGCTGAATGAAGATCAGGAAGCTCTATGGCAGTGAGGCAGGCTGGGAGGAAAGCAAGGGTCACACCACACAACGGCCATGCAGTCCCAAGAATAACAGGGAGATGCATATGGTTGCTACCAGGGGTGATAAGTGAGAGTCAATGACAATTAGGATGTGCTCCTACGSAGGATGACTCTGAAAGCTGGGATAGAGCAAGGCAGGGCATTCAGTTCAGCCCTCCTGCCTCCTAGGGCTACATGAACTATATCAAGAGCCTCCCACTCAACGATATGCCTGAGATTTTTGGCCTGCATGACAATGCCAATATCACCTTTGCCCAGAATGAGACTTTTGCCCTGCTGGGCTCCATCATCCAGCTACAGCCCAAATCATCCTCTGTCGGCGGCCAGGGCAGGGAAGAGGTGGGTGTTGGCTTTGGGGAGGGCCAACATTGGGCTCCACCATCCTTCCTGTCCCCTGTGAGGGCAACTCTGCATGTGGAATCTTGCAGGAGTTAAAGGAGGCCAGCCCTGTCCCTTAGTGTCTCTTTGCCCTTGCAGATAGTAGAAGATACAGCCAAGAACATTCTGCTCCAGGTGCCTGATCCAATCAACTTGCAATCAGTGGTAGCCAAATATCCTGTGCTATATGAAGAATCAATGAACACAGTGCTAGTACAAGAGGTCATTAGGTAATTCTTCCCGCCCCACCCTCAGCTCTGAGTCAGTGGCTACTGTGTTATAGAGAAATGACAACAGGAGTCCTTATGGGCTCAGTGCCACACCAGTGCTATATACATCTATCCTCTAACTCAGCCAATTGTTTTTTTTTTTTTTTTAAAGAGAGAGTGAGAGAGGAGAGAGAGAGAGAATTTTTAATATTTATTTCTTAGTTCTCGGCGGACACAACATCTTTGTTTGTATGTGGTGCTGAGGATCGAACCCGGGCCGCACGCATGCTAGACGAGCGCGCGCTACCGCCTGAGCCACATTCCCAGCCCAGCCAATTGTTTTTTATTCCCATGTTATAGATGAGTAAACTTGCCGCAGTCTGGCTGGGCACAAATAACCGAGCCGCCAAAAAGCCTTGTAGGTTCAAACAGCAACTCTTTATTCCCGAACTCTCACCAGCACGCTACACACACTTCCCGGGAATACACTCCCTCCATCGGGTGCTGCACACCAATTCTCTCAGAACCCTGGGAGAACTCAAYGGGAACTCCAAAGTAGCAGGCGCTCAAGGCAGCAGGATCCGCCCTAATCCCGGAGCAGGATCACCTTTCAACCATTCCCTCTGGCAAAAATGCCAGGCACCATTTAGACTAAACTGTGGYTCTCAGCATAAACTGAGGCTCTGAAAGGGTTAAGTGACAAGTGAATATCCTAGGTCATACTTTGCTAAGGGCCAGAGCTAGGATTTGTTCCTAGGCCACCTGATCCAGCTCTGTACTCTTGTCTCTATGTTCTGCCATTACTTTTCTGTATCTGGCCCTGAATTAGGGACCCTAGCCCACAGCTCGCTTCCTTGCTTCTGGCCCCATAGGTACAACCGGCTGCTGCAGGTGATCACACAGACACTACAAGACCTACTCAAGGCACTCAAAGGGCTGGTGGTAATGTCCTCACAACTGGAGCTGATGGCTGCCAGCCTGTACAACAACAGTGTGCCTGAGTTCTGGAATGCCAAAGCCTATCCATCACTCAAGCCACTGGCCTCATGGGTCATGGACCTGTTACAGCGCCTGGACTTCCTGAAGTCCTGGATCCAAGGTGGCATCCCAGCTGTCTTCTGGATCAGTGGCTTCTTCTTTCCCCAGGCCTTCCTTACAGGCACTCTGCAGAACTTTGCCCGCAAGTTCGTCATCTCCATTGACACTATTTCCTTCGATTTCAAGGTCAGGGGACAGTCAGAGCCAGGTCAGATAACAGGCTGGGGTACAGCTTAGGTAGGAGGGTCACTGAGGCCATAGTTGCTTGGCAGTTAGGGCAACCCTGAGCAGGAAAGTGGGAAGACCCAGGCCAGGAGAGACCATGCACCCTAAGAAAATTCACAGGGGCAGGGTGCAGACCACTGGCTACAACAGCAAGGACAGGCAGGCAGGCAGAGCTCTCAGAAGGGAGTTTGTGCCTCCTGACCAAAACCCTAAACCTAATTCTGAGTATTGATAAGTTGTGGATATCTGTGTGTGCCCGTCACAGGTAATGGACCTGTCACCATCAGAGCTCAAGGAAAGGCCCCAACTRGGGTGTTATATCCATGGATTGTTCCTGGAAGGGGCCCGCTGGGACCCACTGGATTTCCAGCTAACTGAGTCTCGGCCCAAGGAGCTATACACAGAGATGGCTGTAATCTGGCTCTTGCCAACACCCAACCGCAAGGTCCAGAACCAGGACTTTTACCTGTGCCCAATCTACAAGACGCTGACTCGTGCTGGTATGAGGCCCAGGGAATGAATCCTACACTACAAGTAGGACTGACCCAGCCCAACCCAGCCCAAGGCAGTTAAACTGACCCAAGTTAYCTGAACAGAAAGGCTGGCCAAGGTTTGGGCCAGTGCAGAGCCAGGCCAGCAGCAGGTTAAGGGGCTTAACTCATTGCCTATTCACCTCCCTTGCAGATCCCCTTTGGGACCTGGAGCGTACAAGCTCTAGAACACCACAGAGAGTTCACAGGAATAATCAAAGCCCAGGACAGGAATGAGCCTGGGCTGGGTCTATCAGGGGATGAGCAATAGAGCATCAACTCTCCTCTATCTCCATCTTCAATCCTCAGTGCAGGCCTGATCCTTAGCCAGACCCACTCCTCAGGCAGGCTTCCTCTTGGGCCAGGACCCCTCCTCCCTCTCCCCAACTCAATATGCCACACATTGCCCTTGCTCTTGCCTTATCCCTGCTCCAGCAGTGACAAGGCATGACCTWACCCTCCCCCTCTCTTGCCTGCTCCAGGAACACTATCAACCACAGGCCACTCCACCAACTATGTCATTGCTGTGGAGATTCCCAGTGACCAACCTCAGCGACACTGGATAAAGCGCGGTGTGGCTCTCCTTTGTGCCCTGGACTACTAAACTTGGCCAGAAGGGCTAGAGCCATTAAAGTCACATTTTTCAGTCAGTCCAGCTTGTCTTGGCTGCTTGAATGAGGCTCCCTCTGTAGGCTCCACTGCTAGTGTGGGAGTGAGGGGCTGCAGCAGCCTCAGCAGAGAGTGGCAGAGGCAGCTTTGGCCTGCTGTACCTGTCCAGATGCCACAAAGGGAGATAGATACCCTTCCAGGTCCCAGGGCCCTTCCAGGGAGAATCACATCAGGCAGAACTAGAGGCAGCCCTGCCTCCTCAACYCAGAGTCCCCTACATCCCCAGGTCACAAAGTCACCAGATCTGGTGACAGTCAAGTCCTCTGTCCTCAGTACAGCTCGTCTCAGAGGCCATCTGAAGTCCCCCTCAGCTCAGGTCCTACATCCCAGGCCTAGCATCCCAAAGATCTCTGAACCAGAGGTTCCAATGCATACTTCACAATACCCCTCTGGTCACAAGGCCTTGGGCCCAGAAAGTCCAGTAGATCACTCATGCCTACCATGGCCCAGCCTATAGACACACCTCAAGCCAGCAACCACAAGAGGAATCATTTCGTAGCAGTTTTATTCATTCACTGATCCAGTATTTACAGGAGCCAGAARGGACAGGCCATGCTCAGCCCAGAGAGGCAGCTGCCACACTTGCCAGMCCCCCCAGTCATTATGTACAGATAAGGGACCTGTTTGGATCACCTTCAAGCCATGTGGCGGAGACCACAGGGCTGTTTGGGGCCTGAGCTCCAGAGGCAGTGCTGAGCCCATTACCCCCTGGCATCAAGCCCTCTGGGAACACAGGGACTCCAACTGATTTGTCTTGATCCTGCCATCCCCTACCCTGAGTGCCTGGCAGAGGCCAAGGAAGCGGGTGCAGCAGTGAGAGCTGAGAGGCACCAGCTCCTGCAAGCAGCCCAATCTCTGCTGTCCCTAAGAGGAGGGAGATATGGTAATACTGAGGGGCTGGGCAGAGGCTCCTCTGAGCCCCAGGCTCTAGGGACAGAGACCAGGAATCCAAGGTAGGCCCATAGTCAGGGCCACAACACTGAAGGCAAAGAGCCCCAGAGCCTTGCTGTGGACAATAGTCTCAACAAGCCCAGCTAGAACTAGGACAGTTTATAGGCCACCAAACAGTTCAAACACTTCTCTCTCTGCTCAAGTCACTGGACCCCAGCAACTGCCCATTTCATCAACAGCCGCATCCCTGAGTTTGGCATTCTCCCAGGAGGAATGTAGAGAGTGGGCCTGGCTTCCTCACCACAGGGACAGGCAGGTAGCTGGGGCAGCAGGATCCAATGCCAGCTGGTACCCTACAGTTGTGACCCTGGTGTGATGCAGGGACCTGGGCCTACAAGGATGACAGCTGCTAAGAGAGAAAGCAGAGTCATGAAGGTGGCTATGTTAATACAGTGGCAAGATGGGTTGGGGCCCAGAAAAATAGACGTCTCTGATAGGTAAAATATATATTCTGCTGCCCAGGCAGAAGGGCCAGGTCCTGCTGCTCCACAGCCAGCTGTGGAGGAAGCCACAGCACCCTACTGTGACCCAACTCCAGCTGCTGCTTCCTGAGCATTATGGGGCTGACTGCCCACTGCCAGGCCCTAGGATGTGATACAGGTAACATGGACTGGCTCCCACTCCCAAGGCCTGGGCTCTCTGGCTGGAACTATTCAGTAATACTGGGAAACGGGGAGTGAGGCAGGGAGGGGCCCTGGTGAGGGCCTCAGGCAAGAGCAGGCTGCAGAGTCAGAGCCGCAGTCCTCACTGGCGCTTGGCTTTATAGGGGCGAGAGCGTTTCCGCCTATCAGGCTTCCGCTGCTTGTGAAGCCGGCCAATGCTGACCCCTTGGCGCCGCCGTACTGAGATGTTCTGCTCCACCAGATTGGCCAGCATGCCTGTGGAAGGCAGAGACTCTTGAGCGGGTGGCTGGTTGCACAGCAACTGGCCACAGCATCAGGTACATCTCTGTGCCTCACAGTCTACTCAAGAGTTCTAAGGGAGGAGGATCTGAGAGACATGACTCTCAGCAGGGTGTGCCAATTAAGACATAGAAGTAAGCCCCCTCACCTTCCTGAGCCAGCATGGAGATGAAGGTACAAATGAATTCATCATAGTTGTGGGTCCTTCTCTGGTCATCAATCTGCAAGAAAGAAGGGTCAGGGCATCACAAATCATCTCCTCAGAGCAGCTGCCCTCAGGAGAGGCAGAGGACCAGACAGTAGAGACATTACCCACCTTGAACTTCTTTCTCTTCTCTACCTCCTCCTTGAGACAAGCCTCGTAGTTTGCGATCTCAGCCTCCACACATTTGAGCAGTGCTAGTAGCTCCTGCCAAAACCCACCAGAGCACCTGAGGGGGACTGGCCAGCATCAAAGCTCACCGGGAGGCAGCTAAAGGCTGAGGTGAGCAAGCAGAATGCATGGGGCCTGACTCCCCAACCCAGTAAGACTTCCCAGCACCTGGCTCCAGACCCCAACCTTCACACCAAAACTCCAATCAAGAACCCACCACCCAGGCCTATGCCCTTCCCTCTGCCAGGACTGTAAAGGAAAATTACAAAGGGAGGCTCACCTTGGGTGAGTACTTCTCCCCACTTAAGGGCTCGCCGGGTCTGACCAGCCCAGTCTTCTCTCTGCTGTCCGTGACTTCCACCACCTCCTTCTCCTCTGGGCTGCTGGACCCCTGATTGCCTTGGCTCGGTCTGACAGAGGGTGAGGAACCCTTCCCACTCTCTGGGAAGAAGGCATAAGATGTGTCAGAGTACAGGATACTTCATGGTCACCTGGCTACCTCCTACTTCCCTCCTGGCTGCACCAAGTAGCAGTGAGTCAGCCCAAGGCCCACCTGTCAGTGCCAAGGGACTCAGCACACCATCCTCAGCAAGGTGCAGCAGGCCCGTGCTGATGACAGGACCCAGGTCACGGACAGCTCGGTTGTAGCGTATGCAGTCAACACGCAGCAAACTGTCATCCTCCCCAAAAAGCACCTTGGAGATGTGGGAAGTGACAGGGCTAGAGGGCCGTGTCGGGTTGGCTGAGCGAATGGGCGAGCGCAGAGGTGAGTTGAAAGCACTACCGATCTCAGARGCTGTGTCCGTGCTCTCATTGCTGGGTGTAGGTGAGGGCTGCGAGTGTGTGGGCACTGCCACAGCTGGACTCCCAGCCCCGCTGCTAGTCTTGATGGACAGAGGAATTGAGAGGTCTTTCTGGGACTCTTTGAGCTTCTCAGCTAAGACATTGATGGTGTTGGGCTGCAGCACCGATAGCTGCCCATCCGCAGAATTGCTCAATGACCCTGGCTTCCCTGTCCCTTTCCGCTTGTATCTGTGGACCCAAAGAAGAGGTGAGCAAAGGGAGTGGGCCAGTGACTAAACCCAACATGGCTTGAACACACCCTGTCTCCCCAAGGGCCAATCCTGAAGTGACTCACATTTGTTCCAAACAGCCTGACCCTGCCCCCAAGCATGGCACCCTAGGCTCTGTGAGCTGCAGCTAGGTGTCCTCACTGGACACCTCCTCTATTCTAGTTACTTCACTTCTTGCCTTTTGCTATGCCATATCTTCCCCTCCCCATTTCCTATATCCCTCCAACCTCTTCTCCTGCCTTAACCAATCCTTCAAGGCCCAGCAGAAAGACCATGCCAACAGGACCTGCTTTGATATATGCCTGTGTTCAACTCTCCTTCAAGCCCACCAAAAACTTCTTGGAACCTAGTCAGCCCCTTCAGACCAGCTTCTCCCAGAGCCTTGCATTCTGTAGGTGCTCAATGTTATATGCTGAATCAAGACGTTCCCAGACACGGGCTGGAATATTCAGAACAGGCTCCAAGGCACCTAGAGTCGGTAAGCTTTACAGAGCTAGGGCTGACCTGATGGCAGAGTTGGTGTTCTGCACATCCTCCTCCTCATCATCCTCATAGTCATCCTCATCATCAGAGTACTGCTGGGGAGGGCGAACTGGAACTCGACTGCGGCCCACACCTGCTGCCAGGTCCTCTTCCTCCTGGAGCAGAGACCAGGGCACTCATGAGCAGGGGCTGTTCACCTATGGTGGGCATAGTACTCACAGGGGAGAAAAGCAACATAGCTCTGCAGGCCAAGTCCACTGAGCCCCTCCAGGTGTGCTCCTTGGCTGCCATCCACTGACTGCACAGAGGCCTACAGAGGCTTCTAGAGTGCCCTTACATGCTTTTATTCTACTAGCAGAACCCAACCCACACAGATGTACCAAGGAGCATGCCCTAAATGTTTAGTGCCACAGCCATTAACTGGATTTAAAGATTAAAGGAGCTCTCCCTGCCTCCCTAAGCCCCAAGGAACCTGGCAATCCAGGCCCAGGAGAGGGCAAACACCAAGAAACCACCATGGCCTCTCAGAGATTCCTGGATGAAATCCTACAAGGGTGTACCCAGCTTACCTGCATGGGGGACTTGGCATAGTTGTGATTGTCTAGAAAGGCTGGCAGCCGCTGGACAATGGGGGTGGGGTTGGGGGGAACCCCATTGAGGCTGCTCCCTGGAGGCTTCACCACCAGCTTGGGTTTGCTGGGAGGACTGTGGGTCGGAGCTTGTGGGCATGAACCAGCCACCTCCTCTGCACCGTCTGAGACAGGGCAAGGAGTATAGGCAGGACCTTCAGTCAGATCCTCAAGAAAAGCCCACAGTCTCCCCAATCTTGTAACATAGCACTGTTCTCCTCCCTTCCCAGAGGAGAATAAGAGTCAGCAAGCTCTAAATCATGGTCCCACAGCAAGACTGAGAGAAGGAGGAGATGGAAAAAAGAGGGAGGCAGGAAGAAGAGGCCTCTAGAGAAAAGAAGAAAGGAAGGGTACATTATAGAGGGTACAGGGGTCTGGGGTAATGGCAGCCCTTTACAGATAACTGTTAGGGAAGGACTACTCTCCTTCTATGTTCTGAGTGAAAAGAGCTTCAGGCATTGGGCCTTCAGGCCTCTGGTAGAAGACTGCATTGCCAATTGCCCAAATACTTCTACAGAGAAAGACTTGGTATGTATGGGCCTCCCAGGTCAAGTTATGAGGGATGACTCTTCTTCTCAGCAAAGAAGCCCCAAAACACTCCCCACCCAGTACCTGTGTGGATGCCCTCAGAAACTGCTGGGGCCCTGCCTGCCTCCAGCACGAGGGGAGACTTGCTGCTGGCTGGCTTGGATTCTTCAGGAAGCTGTGACTCTTGAGATTTGTGGGTCTGAATCAACTCTGGTTGAGTTACTCTAATCAACTGAAAACAGAATCCAAGGCTCAGAGGAGGGCAGAGCCAMGCCTCTACCCTAGACAGCTAAAAGCTGAGAGAACACAATGGCCTTGGTTCTACCCATTCACAGGAAAATAAAAGCCAAACCACAACCTCCTATAAGAAGCCATTCTCCCTTCCCTCCCAAGTTCCACAAAGAAAGCAAAGGAAAGGAGTGGTTAGCTCAAGCCCAGATTCACAATAGGGTGTGATTTGGGAATCAGAGACAGATCCTGCACTGCACCAAAGGCAAGGAGAGTTAAGTTGGGCTGGGTCAGGGCCAGAGAAGAGGGGCATCTACCTGCTGCAAGGCCTCCAGTACTKTCTGACGGTTCACCTTCAGCACATGTAGCCTGGCCTCATACTTGATCCTGCGGTCGGGCACCACTGCCATCAGGTTGAAGCGGATGTCGTGGTAGGGCTCCCTGCAGTCACAGCCGTAGCTGTGAGAGCAGCTCCCACCCCAGCTCCGCCATCAGGTTGAGGCAGATATCCTGGCAGGGCTCCCTGCAGTCACACCTGCAGCCATAGGTATAGGCCCAACCCCAACAGGTGGGCAGTGGCTGACCATGCACCCCAGACACCTGAGTTGGTATCCTCCAATGACTTATCAGGTCCTATCAGCACATCTGGACCAAACAGGGCTCTGCCAAGGCCTGCTTCTCCCCCAGCCCATCCTAGAGCGAGCCACAGGCAAGAAACAAGACTAGAAGTTGGAATCCCAGAATCTAAAGTTGTTCTTGCCAGATTACTGCATGACCTTGAGATTTACAATCTCAAAGAGGGCACAGTTCCAGAAGTATATAGCACATCAGGCTCCGGGATCCTTACCCTGCAGTGGCGAGGCCAATACGCTCCATGATGACCCTCCGGGCCTTGTCTGTCCACTCCTCATCCTCTCCCCAGGGCCCTAGGGAGACCAAGACGAGGAATCAGCAGGTGGGAAATCCTGAGTTTGGGCAGGTCAAGGATGGAAAGGAAGATAGAGAAGTGTGATTGAGTCAGGGAGTCATGAGCTGGTCAGGCAATGCAGTGCAGGGTGAAATCTTGGCTAGAATTAGATATTCTCAGTATCTACCCCACCCCCTGACACTTGACCCCAAGCACCTGAAGGTCCTAAGCCCCAGGAAGTAAACAGAGATTCAACAGGCCCCTAGATGAGGGTGCCTACCATGATCAATGGGGTAGACCTTCAGCCCATCCAGCTCAAAGAGCCGGCCTGTGATAGGCACATAGCTGACAAAGTGGAACGCCTCCATGGTACGCACTGCACTAAGGCCATTCTGCTTCTCAGGGAGGTGACGTGGCTCAGGCCTGGAGAAGGACAAAGTGTCAGGGCCCTAACAGAAGACACTCTCTCCCACCTTCACCCTACATAAGCTACCACAGCTCCCACATACCTGGCATGGCTATTATGTGCCTTGGCCAATTCTGGGGCATTGCCAATTGCATATCCTTTGCTCTAGGAGGGATAAAATAAGGCCACATCAGAATAGCTTTTCAAATGGAGTCCTGGGTAGGGGCAAAGCTCCAGAGACAGTCCAGAATCTGAAGCAACATAGATGAACTTTCCTAAAGGGATAGTGGAGAGTTCTGGGTTCCCCAAAGAAATGGATGTACTGGCCTTGCACAGTAATCAGAAGATACTGGAGAACAAAAGTACCAAAAGAGAAGGTTTTGGCATGGTGTCACTTATATATACAAAAAAAAAAAAAAAATCGGGCTGGGAATATAACTCAGTGGTAGGATGAAAAGGAAGATAGAGAAGTGTGATTGAGTCAGGGAGTCATGAGTTGGTCAGGCAATGCAGAGCAGGGTGAAATCCTGGCTAGAGTTAGATATTCTCAGTATCTATCCCACCCCCTGTCACTAGGCCCCAAACACCTGAGGGTCCTAAGGTTTGGGGTTCAAACCCTAGTACTACAAAAAAACAAACCAACTGCCTTACACAATTAGTTGCAAGTCAAATATAATATCAACAACCATCTGAAAAAGAAATAGCTAACTAGTACCACATATACCAAGTGGTAGCAGTATTAATGGCCCTGATGATCAAATCTGCCTAGCCAGCAATGGGCCAGATACAAGGCACTGCAGCCTACCTCAGGGCTGAAGCCTTTGGTGAAATCCTTCATGCGACTCAGGGTGGGCCCGAGGTCCACGTTGCTGCAGTTGAGGAGCACACTCAGCAAGGCATGAGTGGCACAAGAGTTGGGGATTAGCTGTGAAACCAAGAATATTCATACATAGCACCCTTCACCCCAAGCTTCCCCAAACCATATTCATTGGGAAGAGGGGGTAAGACAGGGAGTCATATCTGAACTACAATGCTTATCAATTCCCCTCATCTTTACCCAACATTTGTTCATTTAACATGCACTAACTCAATACCCCACCAAGTGTCTGGAAACATGGAGAATGGACTGAGATACTATCCTACTCTAAAAATATTCCCTTTAATGAATAAAAGCTGGATTCTTTTGCCAAGGGGGTTCTATAGCCACAACCCTTGGAATCTGACTATCTCCTCCTAATGCCTTTCCTACTTCCCTTTTCCAAGTTAAAAAAAATTATATATATATGGCAGTATCCCACCCTCCAAACAAGCACAGTCCAGCAGACCTGATGGGCAAAGAACATGTTATTCACAATATCATCATCAATCACGGATGTATCATCCACCAAGGTGGAGACCTTGCGACGGGACCTGCGCTCTTCGATCCATTTGAACAGGAAGATGAATCCATATACAGGGCTGAGGGAGTAAAGAGCAGAAGGAAATCAGCATTCCCCTCTTTTTTTCCCCTAATCCTTTGTACCGTGTCAAAACTTGAGTGCTCCTGACATGAACCCACCTCTCCCTTGGCTTCTTCCCGATACTATATCTAACATGGCCCTGAACTCTCACATTCCAGAGGCCTGCCACAAGTACAGTCAAACATAAGCTCTGACTGTGATGCTCCAAGAATCCTCCCAGTCTCCTTATGAAATCTATGGTTTTGAGTAGAAAAGCTGGAACCAAGAGGCCAGAAACAAGGTCAGAACACAAAGTGAGTCAAGAACAAATACTATGCCTGATGAGGAATTTAAGCACTAATTTTCAAATGTGGGCCCCAAGGCAAAGCCCCAATAAAGCCACCCACACTAGTATCTTCTTTTCCAGAAAATGATTCAGTCCCTATAGTAGTCTCTCTATTTACCTCTATTCTGAAGCATCAACAGGACAAGACCCTGAGTCTGGGCACCTAGGAAGGGCCTTGTTACATCAATCAATCAATACAGGAAGATCTTTGTGTAGAAATTACAGCCACAGTACAAACAAGAACATATTAATGAATTACACAGTTGCACAAAAGGCACTGTATGACCTGGGGATTCCTGCTGCAAGGGACTTCCTGTTGCAAGAACAGAAAAGGCAGCTGAACGTTACCCCAAGGATGGTTAAGGATGGGGGGAGGGCTACTACCTAAAGGGAAGCACTGAGGGAAGACAGAAAACAAATAGCTTGATTAGGGGAGCATCCAAGGAGAAGGGAGTTTCCGTAGGTTATATTTTACAATTTGWATTTCCTGATACTGCCTCCCTTGAGGCGAACTGTTCCCGCCTGTCCCCGGCCCTTTGGGTGAAAGGACCGGCCCAGCCACTCACCCCTGACATTTGCTTTGAAGGTCATAGATCTCCTCCACTTGCACCCCTTTGACTCCTGCAATCAGGAAAAGGAAAACGGTAGGGAAGGGCAGCCCCTGGCCCTGCGGCGAGGGCACAGGGATGGGCCCCCACATCTCGGGTAGCGCGGGCGGGAGAAGCACTTACCGAAATCTTCCACCAGGAGGGTGAAGAGGCCTGGGTAGGGCGACAAGAGGATGGGGTGGTGGTCAGGCAGCAGTGTCCCGACCCCCTCCGACCTCCCCAACCCCAGAGGCCCGCCCTGCCCTCTCCTCACCCGGGTCGCTCTCCAGCTCCAGCCAGCCCTTATTCATCTTCCCGCGGGGCGGCCCCTCAACGCCATGTCCAGGCCCTTCCGACCCACCGCCGCCCCCGCCGGGAGCCCCCACCGCCCCCGGGGCCCCTCAGCCCCACACACAGACAACGGGCCCCACCGCGTCACCCGCCCGCGCCGGCAACACAACGTCACCACTGCGCGACGGCCCCGCCTCTAGGCTCGACTTCCGCTGGCCCGAATGCGGGTGGGGTGCGGGCGCGCGCTCGGAGACGGACGCGCATGTGTGGAGGGGCGGGGCAGGCGCGTGGCCGTTAGCGCGCGGCCGTTAGCGGTCTCGCTCTGGCAACGGTCGGCGTCACGACCTTCTCGGTGGGCTACAGTCCGCGTGACCCAGCCCCTGTTTGCACGTTCGCCTCCTTTGCGGGGTGCAGTCACCGCGCGGGGCCGCCGCCCGTGAGGTAGCTATCACGGCTTGTGACAACGAATAAAGCTCCCGGACAGCGGCGCCCTCAGCGATAGCTGGGTGGGCAGCCCCGGCCGGGAGCAGCGGCCGGTGAGTTATCGTGAGGAGCGAGCATCGGAGCCCACCTCCGGCCCGACCCCGCATCAGCCGCCAGGCAGGCGCGACATGAGCCTGGTCTGGCACCCGCGGGATGGTCCTTGAGCCTCTTCTCCTGCAGTTACCTCCGGGGACGGTTGTGGCCACACCGACACGTATTTTCCAAATAAATCAGTGTTTATCTTGCGACGGCGGCGGGGCCGAACACGTTAATTTATTTTTCATTTTCTCAGCAAGCATTTGCCCAGCATTTTTACAGTGAAACAACTTGGTAAGCGTTTGGAGGGAGCAACCGCCGGGTTAGGAAATCACGGACTGAGCAGCTTGTGGAAGCCCGCATTGGCCACGCCCCTCCTCTAATATTTTGAAGATTGTTGCGTCTTGTAACTACCGGTGTGCACAGAATCCTACCCAAGGAACGTCGTGGTCCAGCGATGCAAACAACTGAAGTTTCAAGGTTTATTTCTATTGCTAGATGATCGGGATAGCCCCAGCAACTGAGAACCACTCAGTCATGTCAGCTACAGTGGGTCCCTTATGGGAACAGCAAATTTTAGCGCGTGCGCCCTTTTCTCTCCTCTTCCAGCCTGTCCAAGCGCTTTTGATGAGTAAGAAGGCGACAAATGTCAGCTTTTGCAACTGCAACTCATGGGTTAGAAGAGGAGATGGAGCAAGCACAAGGCGGGCAGGCTAGCCTTGGTCTTCTGAGCAGCTACTGCCTTAGAGTGGTATTCATGCAGAATAGTTGAAAGTCCCCGGAGGGATTCATGATCCCCTGCCTTGATCCGAGGCCGTGGGTACTGGAATGACCTATTGGAATGACTGGAGTGTGTCTCTGGAGTGACCTAATTCACCCTGCTCTACTTCTAAGAAATATTATCCTCCGACTAGACACAGTCCTTCCTTCACAGGGGTGAATTTGATTTCTTTTTGTCCCCCTTCACTTTCAGGGATTTACCCACCACCAATGAAAACCTCGAAACTTTCTAATCTGCTGACATTGGTGGCTAGAGGAGTGGCAAGGTGTCATCCACTTTAGGGTATTTTACACTGCTCATATCTAGACATAGGTTAGGAACAGGCCAAACCTCAGTGGTCATTTGAGCCTGGTGAAAAGGAGTAATAGGAGCTAAGGGGCTGATTTTTCAGTGTTTTTTTGTTTTGTTTTGTACCAGGGGTTGAACCCAGGGGCGCTTATCCACTGAGCCACATCCTGAGCACTTTGTCCATATTTTGTTTTGAGACAGGGTCTCACCAAGTTGCTTAGGGCCTCACTAAATAGCTGAGACTGACTTTGAACTCATGATCCTTCTCCCTCAGACTCCTGAGTCGCTCTCAGTGTTATTTTTTGAGGGAATTGTTGCTTTTATGCAGCCAAAACCTCATGCTCCTTTTTCTAGGAGAAAGCTACCTCACCTGGCTTTTACTGGGCAAATTGCACACTTGGGTGCAAAAGGTGACTTTTTTACTCATGCATTTGGTAGACACAAAGGAAACAATCACTTTTCTAGGTCAAGCGATGATTCCAAGTTCTTAAAGTGCTATGTGATAGCAGTACAACATGTTGGCCTCTGGAATCTGGCTATTTGAGTTGAAATCCCACCTCTATTTCTCACTAACTCTTACCTTGGACAAGATAATTACTTCTTCATGTCTTAGTCTTCTCATCTTGAAAGTGGTCATAATAATAGTAACTAATGCATGTGTGTGTGTGTGTTAACATATATAAAGTACCTAGAACAATTCTTGACACAGTTTTAATAATTATTAGCTATTATTATTGTTGATACTGGGTACATCCCTTTTATTCCATCACATGGGTTGAGAGGTGAAATGCACTATTGCTTTGATCCTGTGGAACTTGATAACCAAAATAAATGTAAGATTAAATTGCTGACCAAGCCCTATTTATATTTATAGCTGGAAGAGCCTGTATTGTCTTCATAATACTATAGAAGAATTCAAGATAGGAGAGAGAGGCAGCAGCGAATGAAGACTATAAAAGAAAAGAAGAAGGAACGCCTAAGATTGAGGTAGAGTAGGTGACATAGGCTAGTTGTCCATTGACTTGTACAGTTGCACTTTTTTGCTCCCTTTGGCCTGGCCTGGTCCCGAGGAGTAGGATTGGACAATGTGAAAGCACATATCAATGTCCCAGGAAGCTGCCCTTTTACCTAATTCATTCCCTAATTGCAAAGTTCTAGCTCTAGAACTTTACTACCTAAATTAATGTCCTGGCCCTACCACTTGTTACTGTATTACCTGAGACAAATCATTTCTTTTTTTTTTCATTTTTTAAAATTTATTCTGATTTGTTATACATGATGGCAGAATGCAGTTCATTTCATATTACACATATAGAGCACAATTTTTCAAGACACTGATTGTACACAAAGTATTTCACACTATTCGTATCTTAGGGTAATGATGTCTAATTCATTCTACCATCATTATTACCCCCTTGCCCCCCTCCTTTTCCCCTCCCTCCCTCCCTTTTGCCCTATGTAAAGTTCCTCCATTCCTCCCATGCTTCCCCGCCAATCATCATAATGAGCTAGCATCCTCATATCAAAGAAAACTTTTTGACCTTTTGTTTTTTGGGATTGGCTTGCTTCACTTAGCATTATACTCTCCAGCTTCATCCATTTACCTGTAAATACCATGATTTTATTCTCTTTTAATGCTGAGTAATGTTCCATTTTGTGTATATACCAAAGTTTCCCTATCCATTTATCTCCTGAGGGGCATCTAGGTTGGTTCATAATTTCGCTATTGTGAATTGTGCTGCTATAAACATTGATAAGGCTATGTCCCTGTAGTATGCTGTTTTTAAGTTCTTTGGGTATAAACCAAGGACTGGGATAGTTGGGTCAAATGGTGATTTCATTCCAAGTTTTCCAAGGAATCTCCATACTGCTTCCAGATTGGCTGCACTAATTTGCAGTTCCACCAGCAATGTATGAGTTCACATCCTCGCCAACATTTATTGTTATTTGTATTCTTGATAGCTGCCATTCTGACTGGAGTGAGATGAAATCTTAGTGTAGTTTTGATTTGCATTTTTCTAATTGCTAGAGATGTTGAACATTTTTTCATATGTTTATTGATGGATTGTATATCCTCTTCCGAGAAGCGTCTGTTCAGTTCCTTAGTCGATTTATTGATTGGGTTATTTGTTTTTGTTTTTGTTTTTGGTGTTAAGTTTTTGAGTGCTTTGTATATTCTAGAGATTAGTGCTGTATCTGATGTGCTTGTGGTAAAGATTTGCTCCTATTCTGTAGGCTCTCTATTCACCTCACTGATTGTTTCTTTTGCTGAAAAGAAGCTTTTTAGTTTGAATCCATCCCATTTATTGATTCTTGGTTTTAATTCTTGCACTTCAGGAGTTTTATTAAGAAAGTTGGGACCTAATCCAACATGATGGAGATTTGGCTCTACTTTTTCTTCCATTAGGTGCAAAGTCTCTGGTTTAATTCCTAGGTCCTTGATCCACTTTGAGTTGAGTTTTGKGCATGGTGAGAGATAGAGGTTTAATTTCATTTTGTTACATGTGGATTTCCAGTTTTCCCAGCACCATTTGTTGAAGAGGCTATCTTTTCTCCAATGTACGTTTTTAGCACCTGACGAATCATTTCTTTATGCCTCATCTATAAGATGTGCAAAATAATAGCAGCTACCTTCCCCACCCACCCATGCTGGGGATCAGACCCTAAGGTCTTGCACATGCTAGCAAGTGCTGTACCACTGAGCACCTGAACCCCAACTCAAACCCACTTTTTAGAATGTTCTATTCTGTAGTAAAGGGCAAGGTTAGTATCTAGCAATGGGTAATGCTTAGTTAACTTTGATATCACTTTAGTGTGCTTTGTGAAGGTGATACCCTTACAATTCAGTTTAGTATTGGCACAGTAAACAATAAAAGAGTAAAAGGGGTTTTACCACCCTCAGATAATTTAGTGGGTATTTTATGCTTTTAAGAATTATCAAAATAAGGGGCTGGGGAGATAGCTCAGTTGGTAGAGTGCTTGCCTCGCATGTACAAGGCCCTGGGTTCAATCCCCAGCACCACACACACACACAAAAAAAAAAAAATTACGAAAATAAGTTGATATTTTAGTCTTTAAATATTTTGGTTCTTTATCAGACATGAATGGCATTTAAGGGAAATGTTATAAGGGTTATCAATCCTCAAAGGGCTTCTTGCACTTCTTTCTCTTGTATAGGAAATCTGCCAGGACTAGGAAGGTAACCCAGAGGAAGCCATCTTCAGGGCCTGGTAAGAAAGATGAGGCTGTGTTCAGCTGCTGCCTGCAGACCTCAGCAAAGAAGGCCACCTGTATAGGGCAGTAAACTTGGTTCTCTCACTATCAACCCTACTTGTTTCCCAGATTCTCTAAGGGCCTGAATAACTCACGGTCTATAAATTTCATGTACAAAGTTAAAGAAACAAGTAAAGCCACTTAAAACCAAAAATTGTGGAGTGGTTGCAGCCAACTTTTTCAGTGTGACCAAAATTATATCAAATCCTAAATGATACTGAATAAGACCTCATTCTAACCTTCCTCCTTGCCAAAATGTCTGTCTTCCCAAAACAGATGGTTCCTGACTTAACATGGTATCACAATGTTTTGACTTCACAGTGGTGCAAAACTGATATGCATTCACAATAGAAACTGTACTTAAAATTTGAATTTTGATCTTTTCTCAAGCTAGGTATATATGGTATGATACTAAACACTGGACAGTGGCAGTGAGCCACTGTCAGCCACACACCATGATGGGCAACCACCAACACTCTACAGCATGCTTTGTTGTTAAGCTGAGATGTTTGGTAGGTTAGATGTATTAAATGTATTTTTGATCGATGATATTTTCACCTTATGAAGGGTTTGTCTGTACATAAGCCCTTCATAAGTCAAAGAGCATCTGTATTCCTTCCTGTACTTACATGGTTAGCTCCCACTTCTCTTCCATTCTTGTGGATAAACTTGAGCCAAGCCTGTATAGTTAATTCTTAACATTCACTCTTCTAGTTTGCCGGCTATGCTTTCGAGAACCTGGGGATCCTGAAAAGTTAGGAGAATTCCTTCAGAAAGACAATCTCAGCGTGCATTATTTCTGTCTTGTGAGTACAAGCCTCCTTTACTTTGAATGTCATGGCATTTCCCACACAGACTATTTTRGCATCCAGTCTCAAATTTATAGTATTGTTTGTTTTCCTTAATCGGCTTTTTTTTAATCCAAAAAATATAATATATGTACCTGGTATAAAATCCTGTCACTGTACAGTTAAAAGCTTCTTCCCAAAACAATATCCTCAATCTTTCTTGCCCTCCCCAAAGACAAATACTTCCATTACTTTGGGATATCCTTCAAGTTATTTTTTTTCCCAGTATTCTTTTTTGTTAGGTAAAATTTGCATACTATAAAATGCAACCAATTTTAAGTGTACAATTTGGTGAATATTGACAAAAGTATATCCTTGTATAACCACCACCCTAATCAAACAGCATTTCTATCATCCTGACCTTTTCTAGATAGTTCCACCAGAGATAATCACAGTTGTGATCTATAGATTATTTCTGCATAATCTGACTTTATATAAATGTTTTTAATACTTCTTAGTTGTAGATGGACACAATGCCTTTATTTTATTTTTATGTGGTGCTCAGAATCGAATCCAGTGCCCTCCACATGCAAGGTGAACACTCTACCACTGAGCTACAACCCCAGTGCAGACTTCATATAATTTGAACCATGATGTTTATACTTTTTCATCATTGGCTTTTTTTCCTAACACAATGTTTTGGAGATCCATCCATGTTGTTACCTAGTAGTATTCTGTCATATGAATGTGTTATAGTGTACACCTGCTAGTGTACATTTGAATTGTTTCCATTTGGGAACTATTGTGAATAAAGCTGCTATGAACATTCATGTCCAACTTTTTTTGTGAACATGTGTTTTCACTTCTCTTAGGCAGATGTCTAGGAGTGGAATTACCGGTTGTATGCTAAATAGATGTTTAACTTCATGTGAAGTTGCCAAGTCATTTTCCAAAGTGATTGTACCAGTTTACACTCCCACAAGCAATTTATGACAGTTCCAGTTGCATGATGTCTTGCCAAAACTTGGTATTGTCAGTCTTTTTCATTTTAACCATTCTACTGGATATATATTGCTATCTCATTATGGTTTTAATTTGCACTTCTCTGATAACTAAAGATGTTGAGCTTCTTGATCATTCTCATATTTTCTGTGAAGAATCTGTACCAATATTTTTGTCCATTTTTAAAATTCGGTTGTTTGGTCCTATAATTGAGTTGTAAGAATTGTTTATCTATTCTGGATACAAATTGTTTTTCAGATATCTGTATTGTATTTTCTTCTGTGGCTTGCCTTTTCATTTTCTTAATGGCATGTTTTGAAGAACAAGTTTTTAATTTTGATGAATTCTTCTTTATTACTTTTTTCTTCTATGATTAGTACTTTTTGTGTGTCCTAAGAAATCTTTGCCTACCCATTGAATTACCTAGGTGACTTTATAAAAGTCAATTGTGAATTTGGATGATGTTTATGTCTTTGATCTATGTGTATCTATACTTAAACCCTACCCCACTGTCTTAATTATTATTGCTTTGTAGTGTCTTGAAAGTAAGTATTATAAATGTTGTAGTCTTTTCTAATATTGTTTTGGTTATCAGGTCCTTTCCTTTTCTTTATGAAATTTTTATTAAGCTTATTAGTTTTTCTTTTCCAAGAAACTTCTGGGATTGTAATTAGGGTTACTTCAAACTTTGATTATTTTGTGGAGAATTATCAAATTCTTCCATGGACATAGTATATTTCTCCATTTATTTGGGTCTTTAAAGTTTTTATATCGGCAAAGTTTTATAGTTCTTTATTTTTTAGACTTTTTTCCCACCCAATGGCTGGGATTGAACCTAAGGCTTGCACAATGTAGGCAAACATTCTACCAATGAGCTACATCCCCAACATTTTATAGTTGTAGTGAAAAAGTCTTGCACATCTTTTGTTAAATGTATTCCTAAATATTTTGTGGTTATGCTATTGTAAGTGACATTTTAAAATTTCATTTAAAGTTTGTGGCTGAATATAGAAATGCAGTCTATTTTTATATGTTGATTTTGTATCCTGAAATCTTGTTAAATTCACTTAGTTCAGTAATTATTTTTCTTTATTTTGTTGTAAARTGCCTTAGAATTTACTGTGTACATAGTCATGTTTTGTGAATAAAGACAGTTCTGTATCTTCTTTTCAATCTTTGTCTTTTATTTATTCTTCTTATTATACTGGCTAGGACCTTCAACCTGATGTTCAATAGARGTGCTGTGAATGGTTTTCCATGTCTTGTTCTCAACATTATGGAATAGCATCTAGTTTTTCATTATTAAAATATGTTCACTGTAGGTTTTTCATAGGTGGTTTTTATCAACTTGAAGTTCCCTTTTATTCCTTGTTTTCAGAGAATATCCTGAATATGTATTGAATTTTGTCAAATGCTTTTTCCGCATCTGTTAAGATGATCTTGATTTTTTTTCTCATTTGTTAATGTGGTTTGTTACATCAACTGGATTCTTTAACATTTAATGTTGAACTAATTTTGCATTGCTGGTCTAAACTCTACTTGATCATGATATAGTCTTTATATAGTGCTGAACTCAATTTGCTAATATTTTGTTTGATTTTTACATTTATGCTCATGAGAAAGATAGATCTTATTTTCCTTTCTTGTAACTCCTGCCCAGGTATCAGGGCTTGGTTAATTTTTGTGCATTACAAGTATATACATTTTAACTTGTATCTTTTTTTTAATCTCAACACATAATGCTACCTAAGATGTCATTAAATAAATTGCCCTATAAATACATATATAATCCAATAAGTTCTATTCCTTAGAACATATAGAACACATAGACCTAATTTTTTCTTTATAGCTCTTTGGTGTTTCATGGTATGGGTGTGCCAAAATGTAATAAAACAAACCCCTGTTATTAAAGGACGTTTAGATTATGATATTTATTGATTTTTCTGTTTATAGCAATAACATATGATGATTGTATAAAATGTGAATACTTTATAAATAAAACAGAAATCTCTCTTATTATTCTAAAACCCTGAGATAATAATACTCATAACATAATATATAATATCATATTTTAAGCATAATTGGGAACATGCAGCAGAAATCAAGTGACCTAGAGTCATCTAACACGGCAGGGTAAACTTTTCTATAATGCAGAAATAAGATAACCTGAACTCCCATTACACATTTCCTAAATACTTCAAGTCCAGCCCCCTCCCCAATACTTTTGGTAGATTCTTGGTGTGGMGGTGAGGTGCTGACATTCTCCCAATGCATGTAATAGATCAGTTTAGCTTCTTTTGCTTTGATTTCCTATTCCAGACACTGCTTTAGAAGTTTTTCAGAAACAAATGGCCCTTTGAAGGGTGTTTGTAAAAGAAAATACAATTCCTTTCCCTTCCCCTATAATGCAGAATGACTGTAGTCAAAAAAAATTTTTAAATCCTATTCATCTTCTTGTAAAACTCTAAGAAGGGTATTTATTCTGTACTGAAGGGACAATACAGCAGGAGGGGTAAGAGTGTGGGCCCAGGTATAAATGACATCTCTGTTCCTCCTTACCATGTGACTCCAGCCTGATCACTACACTGCACCACATTGACCACCTCTGTAAGATAAGGGTCACAGAAACTATGGTGAACATAAAATGGGAGTGTTTCTCCAAAGTCCTCAGCACAAAATAGGAAAGATGAAAAGCAGTGTAGCATAAAGATACAAAGAGTACAGGTTCTGGACTGCTAGGGCTTTGAACAAGTCACTTATTCCTTATAGAAAAGAGGGATTTTAGGGTACCCAATGGGTTAATACTTGAAAAGTGCTCAGAGTACCCAAACATAATGCTACCTAAGATGTCATTAAATAAATTGCACTATAAATACATATATAATCCAACAAGTTCTATTCCTTAGCTTTCTTACCCTGGCATTCTCGCTCCATTGCACTATGTTATTCATCATCAATGTTGACAGCCTTGTTTTGCTGCTTCCCCAGATTCTATCTAGCAAGCTGCCTCAGAGGGGCCAATCCAACAGAGGTTTCCATGGATTCCTGCCTGAAGACATCAAAAAGGAGGCAGCCCGGGCTTCTAGGAAGGTTAGAACCCCCTGCAATAGGGACCTCGGGGTAGGCCTTTTTTCAGACCTTTCTCAGAATCCCTGTTTCTGTTCTTTCCCTAATTGCTAGGTCAGAAGTCAAAGGACTTTTGGATTTCCCAACTGATCTTTTTGTTTTTGCAGTGCTAGGGATCAAACCCAGGGCCTTGTACATGCTAAGGAAGTGCTCTACCACTGAGCTACCTCACCTCTTGCCCCAGCCCTAGTCTTTGAGTCCCATTTTCCTCTAGGATGTAGTATTCTAAGTGAGAAGAGGGAACAGCATCCTGAAGACAAACAAACAAAAAAAGTGCCCCTTGAAACTCAGCTTTAGGGGCCCTGGACCTTTCACAACCACTAACGAAAGGAATGGCTATTCACAGATGTGCCACAGCGTGTCTGTTGTCTTGGGGTACTGAGCACTGTCTGGAATCTCATTTGCAGATCTGCTTTGTGTGCAAGAAAAAGGGAGCCGCTATCAACTGCCAGAAGGATCACTGCATCCGAAACTTCCATCTGCCTTGTGGCCAAGAAAGGGGTTGCCTTTCACAATTTTTTGGAGAGTACAAGTGAGTGAGGAATTGGAAAAGTCAGGCTGCTCTTTTGCAACTTGCTATTTAGGCACTAATGAAATCACAATCTGATTCTCATAGGCCTGTTTTGATTCACCAGTGAATCTGTTCCTCCTTTCAATAATGGGAAACAGAGTATTGACTTGAAGATTTCACAGGGGTTTCTTCTTGCTTCTCATCCCCTCCTTAAATTACAAACAGCTGGGGTTCTTAGACAGCTGCTCTGAAGTAAATGGGGATTTCAGGAATGAGAAGCTGTGGAGACAATCCCGGGAGCTTTGCTCAGTGGGAAAGCAGCCATGAGAAGGCATGTGGCTGTTCTTCACCCTACTCCTCCTCCTCCCTGTGAGTGTGGAGATTCACCAGGCACCAGGCGGGGTGACTGATTGTCCTCCTAGGCCAGGCGGCTGGAATCTGCATCAGTGACAAGCCAGAAACCAAATCTATTTACCCTGCCACAGATCATTTTGTGGAAAACATCGGCCAACACAGAACATCCAACAGGGGAATGTGGGAGAGGAAAGCTGTGTCTTGTGTTGTGAAAACTTATCCCAAGCCATTGCTGAGAACATCCAGAGCCCGTGTTGTAGTCAAGCTATCTACCACCGCAAGTGCATCCAGGTGGGGCTTTCTCTGCCCTGGGGGAACCTTCCATAGTTGCCTTAGTTCTCTACATGGAACCAGAACACCCTGGGAATGCTCAGTCACATTTTAGCTTCAGTACACCATGCTGAAGGCCTCTGTGCAAAGTTGTTAGTAGTCAGAGAGCAGAAACTTAGCCCAGTCTCTGGTCATCCTTGGCCTATGGGACCTCATTCATGAAAAGATTTAGACTGAGCAAAATCMTCAGGATTGATAGAGCAAATGGAGTCATCCCAGAACAATTCAAAGAACCTCAAAAATCACATTGGGATGAAAGAAAAGGAAATGTATCCCCTACCTAGTCGGCATGCCAAACTCTATAACCAGAGATGACAGCTGAGGCATGCATGCCTGGGAACTTTCTTGAAAGCATTTTGATCCCGGGCCTGGCACCTGGATTTGCAGCCCTCATCCTAACCTACCCAAACTCCTTTTCCATACCCCCATTGGGTGAGGGTGAGAGTGGAAAAGAAGGTGGTTAGTGTTTTTACCAACACAAAGCCCTTCTGTTTCTCTTATAGAAATATGCTCACACATCAGCAAAACATTTCTTCAAATGTCCTCAGTGTAACAATCGAGAAGAGTTTCCTCAAGAAATGCTAAGAATGGGAATTCATATACCAGACAGGTAGAGAAAACTGTAAAGCAGGAATTGAGCCAGGGAATGGGTTGCCTGGATTTCTAGAGAAATCACACTAGGTGAATGTGAGGATAGTTCAAAGAATGAAAGCAGCTGGGACACTGACATACAGTGAATACCAGAGGTGGGAGGAGCGCTTTTCAGAAGAAAAGGCAAGGAAAAAATGGATGGGATATGTTTCTGAAAAAAAAAAGGGGGGGGGCATTTTGGGGATCAGGAGTCCCTGTGAGGTTGGTTCTTGAATTCCTGGACAAAACTAAGGAACCCTCATGTTCCAGTCACCCTGTGTCAGCCCCCTCTCACAGCCAGGCCACTCACTTGTTGAAGGTGTTCAGGTAGCCTATTGGACTCCTTTGCTGTGCCTCAAAATCACACTGGGATAAAAGAAATGAGAAGTTTGGGCTTCTCCTTAGTTCCTCTTTGATGGACAAAGGCTTCACCAGCTGATTTTGTGTCCCTTATTCACTATTTCTTCTCCCACTGCAGAGATGCTGCCTGGGAACTCGAGCCAGGGGCTTTCTCAGAGCTGTATCAGCGCTATCAGCATTGTGATGCCCCCATCTGTCTGTATGAACAAGGCAGAGACAGCTTTCAGGACGAAGGGTAGGGAAAAGGCCCTGACTAGAAAGAGCTCTTGTCAGTGTCATCTTAGATCTTGGCACAGTTATTAGGAGCAAGAAGTTGTCGTTTATCTGCAGACCTCAGGTGAATGCAATTGCTAACCCCATTTTGACCAGCTCTGACTCATTTATGTGCAAGTGGTCCAGTCTCTCTGCATGGTCTGCTTCTTCCTGTGCCCAGTAGAGAGACACTCAGAGCCAATCCCTTTCCAAATCCACCTTATGAGTGGTTGTGCCTGCCTACAGGGTCCTGGGATCAGCACGTGGTCTAATTCACACATCTGAGATGAGTAAAATGGATAGTGAAAGCCTTCAACATAACCAAGGCTGGTCCATAGCAAACATCCCCCAGAGAAGCAGTTAATGTCTGTTTGTCCCGACATCCCCCCTTGGCTCTCCCCATAGGAAGTGGCGCCTCATTCTGTGTGCTACGTGTGGATCCCACGGAACCCATAGGGACTGCTCCTCTCTTAGATCCAACAGCAAGAAATGGGAGTGTGATGAGTGTTCACCTTCTGCTTCAGCCATAGGTGGGCTGGAGGGATGGTCTGGTCTAAGAATGGGGTTGGGGCTGGGGAACTTGTGGTGCCTGGGGATGGAGGAAAGCAGGCCACCAGAGGGGGTTTTGGGAGCCTTAAGATTTGGAAGGAGAGGCCAGGTGTTGTGGCACATGCCTGTAATCCCAGCAGTTCGGGAGGCTGAGGTAGGAGGATCGTGAGTTCAAAACCAGCCTCAGCAACTGAGTGAGTCCCTATGCAACTCAGCAAGACTCTGTCTCTAAATAAAATACACAGAAGGGCTAGGGTTGTGGCTCAATGGTTAATTGCTCCTGAGTTCAATTCCTGGTACAAAAAAAAAAAAAAAAAAAAGGAAGGAAAGTGGCTAGGGAGGGGCCTAAGGACCTACCTGCACCTGGGAGAAACAAAGGGTTGCATTTTCCTTCCCTTCCTTTCTTTCACCACAGACTACAGACCTGAAAACTCAAATGATATTCCCTGCTGCAGCAGCACCTTCCACCCTCAGGAGCATTTCTGCAGAGACACCAGCCTGGAAGAGAATCCAGGGCCTTCTTGGACTGATTGGCCAGGACCTTCCTTAGTAGAAATTCCAGAGTCCTCTGGTGGCAGGAAGAACCACTCCTGGCAGTCCAAGGGTGTCAGAATCACTAAGAGGTGCAAAAAGTCCAAGTAAAAACTTCTGAGTAGTTRCTGCCAAGCACAATTGGGTACGAAGCAGCACTCCTCCATTGGATTTGGGGGAGGGAGCACTTTGGGACTGTGAGCCAAGGAAAGGGGGCCAGCAGTGAGACTAGAGCCAAGGAAAGAAGTCCCAAGGGAGCATAAGGAGCGCTCGGAGTCCAGATGCCAACAGTCAATCGTATTTGTGGCTATGAGAATGCCTCTGCTCTTTTTTCCCCAATTCTCTTTCTTCTCTTCTTCCACCAAGATTCTTCCACCTTTATATGGTTTTCGTATGCCTCTTCTTAACTTCACTCAAGTTTGTTATTATGCAAATAAAGGTTTTTCTCTCCATTGAAGTCTCCTTATAAATTCACTCATGAATTTTTCCAGCATTTTTAAGGAATCTGGAGTGGAGCGCGTGGGGAAGTAAGGGAATAAGAAAAGTCACCCTTGTACTCCATAAAATTTAGTAAATTAATGTAGAACTTTTACCTTAGAACCTAGGTATGTTTCTTTGAGAAAGAATCAGTTTGCAGGGAATTTGACATCCTAGGGCGAGTGTTTTAGTCACATTTCTGCTTCTGTGACTAAAAGAAGAATAGTAGAGGAGGAAAAATTTATTCGGAGGCTCATGGTTTCAGAGTCCATAGACATTTGGCTGTATTCCTCCACCAGAATTGAGGCAGAATCTGATGGAGGAAAGCCACTTCCATGATGATCAGAAAGCAGAAACTCCACTTATCAGATACAAAATACATACCCCAAAGACATACCCCCAAAGCCCACCTCCTCCAGCTACACCCTACCCACCTTCAGTTACTACTCCATTAATCCCCACCAGGGGATTAATTCACTGATTGGGTTAAGGCTCTCATAACCCAATCATTTCTCCTCTAAACCTTCTTGTATTGCCTCACAGCTTTTGGGGGATACCACATCTAAACCATAACAGGCAAATAAGTACACAGGTTCTCATCAGGAAGGTCAGCCAGTATGAGTTCACACTGGACTGAATAGGTCCTTGTTGCAAGGCTTGGGACCCCAGACTCAAAAAACATGCTAGGGACTCCTGTGCCCAGTGAGGCCAGAGACTGCACTCATTACTGGCCAGTGTGTTCTCTACAGCATGTGTGAACCACTCAATAAACTCTTGGTGCCTGGTGGTTTGAGCTTTAAAATCCCAACTGTAACTACAAATTTGCATGCCAGGACATTCACATTAGGCAAGGCAGCTAGGATGGGAATCTGGCAAAAGGCCTAGGGAGAAACTAAATAGAGCCCATCTTACATTTGTATGTTTTTATAATTTCATGGGATTTGGATGATTCGGGGAAAACTCAGAACCATTGCCAGATACTGAATTCTCAGGGTTTCACTGAGTCATTGTCACTGATGGTGGAGTGTTCTCATTACAAATGCTGCTGAGCCCTGCAGACTTACATCCAAGGTGTGTGTAGACAGTGATTGCCTTCAGATTTGACCAGATTCACTTGAAATAGGATGGAAGATATGTTTTAGTCAGCTTTTTGCGCTGCTGTGATTAGAAGACCTGACCAGCACAATTGTAGAGGAGGAACAATTTACTTGGGGGCTGGCTCACAGTTTCAGGGGTCTCAGTTCATAGACAGCAGGCTCCATTCCCTTGGGCTTGAGGTGAGGCAGAACAACATGGTGAAAGATGTGGTGGAAGAATTGGCTCACATGAAGATCAGAAGCAGAGAGAGACTCTCCAGATACAAAATATATAACCTAAAGGTACACCCCCAATTACCCACCTCCTCCAGCCACACCTCACCTGCCTTCAGTCAACACTCAGTTAATCCTATCAATGGATTAATTCACTGATCAGGTGAAGGCTCTCATAACCCAATCATGTATTTTTCTCTTCTGAACCTTCTTGCATTGTCTCACACATGAACTTTTGGGAGACACCTCAAATCCAAACCATAACAAAGTGTTATTATCTTTTGGCTATTATCAACGTATGTAGGCAATATAGTATAAACTTGAAAAAGTCTAAATGGCTAGGGGTGTAGCTCAATGGTAGGACATATGCTTAACATGTGAGAGGCCCTGGATTCAATCCCCAGGACCCAGAAAAAAATAGTCTTAATAGCACTGAAGGATTATAATGAAAAACATTCTCAATTTACCCTTCTCTATTTTCAGTCCTATTCCCCAAAGACAATATTTTCCTCTTTTTTTAGCTATTTCTTGATTTATTAATTTTAGACATTATTAACTTTCTGTTAAGTTACATAAAGGTGTATCACCTTTATAATCTTCCCATTTTATTTATTTATATATATACATATGAACATATGTATGTGTATATATGTGTATTTTTTTTCAGTTGTCAATGGACCTTTATTTTCTTTACTTATAGGTGGTGCTAAGACTCAAACCCAGTGTCTCACATGCTAGGCAAGTGCTCTACCACTGAGCCCCAACCCCAGCCCCTAGAATCTTCCTATTTTTACTCTCTCCATCTTAAAATAGTTGCATTACAATTTTTGTTAAATTAATTTTTAGTGTTTACATTATTATGACTATGTAAATATTGTTTACTACTGAGCCAGACAGTATATCATGATCACCTTTGTTTGCTCTTCTGTATAGTGTTTTGCTTTTTTTCTGAAATTAACAACTGCCTCTCTTTCTTTTGCTGTGAACCTATTACTGATTCCTCACAGGCCAGGCAACAGATCACTCTCAATTACACTTCTTTCCTGGAAGACCTGTCTCCTAAAGCCTCCTTCTTCTAAGGTGGCTGTCCTGGGCCTCCTGCATAGCTGTCATTCCTAGGGCTTCCCACAACTGTGCCCTTTCATTTTCTCTCTCATTGATTTGACAAGCAATGTTATGCTTTCTAACCTGAGCATCCAAGAAGATTTTTGTCAAAGCTTTGCAAATGATAAGAGAACTTTTAAATTATGAATTTTCATTTCAAAAGCAATATCTTTCCCACCCCTATAAACTCAACTCCTGTAGTGATCATTTACAACTGAAAAATACTTCCTAGATTAAGACAGGCTTTAGTTTCTTAACCTATAGTTATTATAACTGAGCTCACCAGGAATATTCTTAGAGAAATATGGTAGTATCTGTCCCTTTATAGGAGATCATTTGTATACTGCTCATGTGAGGAGCACCATCTTAACAGAAGGTAATGGCTCCCTAACTGTGCCCTATGGCCTCCAGCTTCCGTGGATGGAAGGCAAAGCTTGTTGCAGGAATGGAGGAGGGTTTTGTCACCCAGACATTTAGCTGCCCTACCTCTACGTACAGCTGGCCTTAATAGGTACTGCTAGCTAGCGGGCAGTACAGGTACATGCACACTCACATACACGTACCTATTAACCATTTCTTTCTCTTTATACCTTTACCCTTCATTGAAATTAATAGCTACTCCCATTCTTGTAGGCTGGAAAGTCCAACTTTGAAGTGTTCTGACCTTCCTGTGGGCCTAATCAATTGTTATCCATTAAACAAACAACAAAAAAAAATTATTGGTACTAGGGATTGAACCCAGAGGTGCTTAATCACTGAGCCACATCCCCAGCCCTTTTATTTTTTTAAATAATTTTTGTTTATTTTAGTTGTAGTTGGACACAATACATTTATTTTACTTATTTATTTTTATGTGGTGCTGAGGATTGAACCCAAGGCTTCGCCCATGCTAGGGGAGCATTTCTACCATTGAACCACAACCCCAGTCCCCTTTTTATTTTTTATTTTGAGGCAGGGTCTCACTAAGTTGCTTTGGGCCTCACTAAATTGCTGAAGCTGGCTTTGGAACTTGCAATCTTCTTGCCTCAGCTCCCAAGTTGCTGGAATCACAGGTGTGCACCACCAAGCACAGCAAACAATTGGCATTTTTCTTAAACATTTAATTTTAGAATAGCTTTACAGAAAAATTGTGAAGATAGTTTAGCAAAGCCCCATATATTCCAAATCTAGTTTCCCCTATTATTAGTGTTTTCCATTACCATGGTAAATTTGTCAAACTAATGATCCAATATTGATATATAATTATTCATTAAAGCCCACATTCAGTTATTATCAAAACTTCAGATATTTTTTTTTACCATTTTTTTTTTCTGTTCCAGGATCCAGTCTGGGTTATCCAATCATACTTTGAGTCATCCAATACTGTAGGTTCCTCTTGGCTATGACAGTTTGTCAGACTTCCTTGTTTGTGATGACTTTTGACAGTCTTACAAGTGTACTGATCCAGTATTTTGGGGAGTGACCCTTAATTGGGATCCATCTGATATTTTTGTCCTGTTTAGACTGGGGTTCTGGGCTTGGGGAGGAGACCACAGCTGTGGGAGACCAGCCTTGCACATGACTGAATCACACTTCCTGGCTGGGTGCTGAGGCGCTCAGTCCCAGAAATGTGGCAGAGCTTTCCCCACCCTTCTTGGGTTCCAGGAACTGGTGTCTCCTGCATGGGTGTGTCTTGCTACAGCCCCATGGGTGGAGCTACACTCATCTGTTTGTTTGTAATATAACCCCTTGCCCTGTTTAGAATAGAATGTTCCATGGAAGTGCCTTGTGTGTGTCCCCTTCTCTTACTGTGCCTTTGGGTGTGGTCTACCCAGGTGTCAGTGAACCTGCTGACAGTGGACATCATGAAGATAGACTCAGCCCCCTGAAACCTGACCCCTTGTGTGTGTGTGTGTGTGTGTGTGTGTGTGTGTGCGTGCTGCTCTTGTTCTCTTTCTGCGGACCCTTAAAGTCAGAGGAGCCGTCACAGCGACCCCAAAGAAAAAGGTATTTGTGTCTCTTGTGTGGTTATTTTGTGCAGCCCAGTCAGCCCAGTTTCCCTGGAGTGACCCCTGAGCCTTTTAGTCACGAAAATGAAACCCGGCACACAGCTCCATTTTTATCACACCTTATCAGAGTTACACACTATCAACATGACCTATCACTGTTGATGTTAACTTTGGTCACCTGGCTACAGCAGTGTTTGCCCACTTTGTAGTTCCTCTTTTGTCCCTCTTTCCATATTTTACCCTTTGGGAAAAAGTGTGTGCAGCCCACAATTAAGGAGTGAGGGTTTATGTACCTTCTGCTTTGAAGATGGATTAGCTACATAAATTATTTTCAATTCTTCTGCTTGGGAGATTGATGTATTCTCTCTCAGTCATTTTTTTATTCAGTCATTTGCTTATCAGTATGGACTCAGTGGGTGTATATATTATATGTTGGGTTTCCATCCAATACTACTTGTTTATTTTGTTGTTCAAATTGCTCTAGCTTTGGCCATTGGCTGCATTGGTCCTGTATCTTTTTCACATCCCATAGTGGTATGTTTGCTTTGTTTTTGAGCACTTCCTGACTTTCTG